AAGAATTTTGAAATCAAGATTTTCAGATTTTGGGTGTGTTGATAAATTTATGGGTTTGGTTGTTCAAAATTTAGATCCAAATCTTGTTTTTGGGAAGCTTAGGTCAAGGATATGATTTTGGAGTATGATTTCGAGCCTTAAGAATGGTATTTGAGGTGTTGAAAGAGACTATTGAGAAAATTTTGAAACTTTGTATTTTTTTGGAAATTTTAGTTCATGGGCCTTATTTTGTCTCTCGTGTTCCTTTGATTTGTGAAGTATTTTTTTTGAAACGTTTTTGATGTTTTGGAAACTGGGAATAGCAAAGGTCAAAACCCTTTTGATTTCACTGATTTTGGTTAAGTTTTGGGGGATCAAATATTGGAGTGAAGTTAGGTTTTCAAAACTACCAAAACAGAGGAAGCTGGAAAACAAAAATTCAGATTATTGGGTCTGTCTTTGGGTTCGAATTTCTCACTAACCTTAGCTCTGTTTTCACATATCTTTGTATGTATAGAAAGCTAAGGTTACAAGCTTCAATTTGAGTACAGTCTTGCAAAGCTTTCCGATTTTAGTTATGCCAAAAATGAAGTGGAAAATAGGGAAAAAGAAAAGGTCTTTTGGGAAGATGAATAGTACCATGCAGTCACCATATGTGTGTTCAGCACCTGTGGTGCGATGTTAGTGTCGTTCGTCATCCTCCCTAGCTTGTTTTTCAGGACCACATGTAGCTTTTTGACCAAAATTATGTTAAACAAAAGTACTAATTATTATTTGTCCCTATTGTTCGATTATGGCTAAAGTGAAAATAGAAGAATTGGAAGGGTAATTCAGTAATCTAACTAGTCGGACATGAGGTAAAGTTTTCTGATTTCCTGATGATTGGGCTATGTCACTTTTAATATTGGTGCTTATATATAGTATTATATATGAATATTATTGTTGTTTTGCTCCATAAATGTTATTTAATGTTTGATGAAATACTATTTGATGTTATGTGAATATTATTATTTATATTGCTCCGTGGATAATATTTGACGTTGGATGAAAATTATTATTTATGTGATTAAACTTGAAATATTATTGTTTTTATGTGAATTATTATTATTTAGCAAAGATTAATGATGTTTAAGTTGCATTACATATGCATCATAAATATGGTTATGTTTTGAGTTTGTGTGTGGTTTGAGGTATATCTAAGGGGTGGAAGAAGGCTTTAGATATATTTGAGTAAAAATGTAGAATATATATTCAGGTGACAGGAGCAGAGCCTAAATAAATTTAGGTGATGGGAGTAGGGCTTTTAATGAAAGTGAAAGTTGAGAAATTCGTAAATAAAAAAAATGGGGTTAAGGGACTGATAGGGGCTAGTTCATCTTTTAGGGTATTCAGAGCAACAGTGGTAAAACGCATGGTATGAGACATGTAGGCTTGTTGCCCTAAGGTACGAATTAGTGAGATTAGAAGGGAGTGAGTTCATGGCATCATTGCATATTCAAATTTATTTATCTAGTATGGTTGCATAATTTATGTATCTTGTGTTGTTTGATGATGACACTTTGATTAACTATGATAGTTGACCTTAAGAGGTTTGACGATACTCTATTAGGCATTAGAATGCTCATATCCTAACTGATTGTGCAGGATTCAAGGTGAAGTTTGAGGAAGCAGTTGTTCCACCAAGCTACTAGAGATTTGTTGTTGATTTGTGTAATATTAGTAGTGAGTAGTCAATTGTTGAATAAGGATCTTAGTGTGTTTTTTTACTTCGAGCTACTATGACTTTGATTTTCACTACTACAAAAAGTGAAAAAGACGACCAGAAAAACACGACGGTCTAAGTGAAAACCGTCGTTGTTTTTTAAAAGACGACGGTTTTATAAAACCGCCGTGTAATAACACATTAGACAACTAAAAAATGGAGTTTCAAATGGTTGTTCCTAAAACACGACGTACTTAATTAAAAAACCGACGTCTTATTGAAATAGGATTTTCAAGAGGTAAAATCATAGCCAACAAATAACGGCGGAAGTTATGAACCGACCGACGTAGAAAGTAAAGACGACGGTTTCACAAAAAGCCGTCGTTTTTACCCAGAAATTAACACGACCAAGTTTTCGTATAAGGCGCCGTATAATTACAAATAAATCCACGGCGGTAAAATACAAAATACCGCCGTATTAAATTAATGTACAACTACGGCAAAGGTAAATATAACGACGTCTTTCTCGTATTTCTACGACGACATCTTTAAATCTTACCAAGTTGGGGTTTTCATATAACGACGTATTATAGAATTTAACGTCGTATTTGTCCACTTTATACGTCATACATTATATTTAAACCGTCGTCTGAATAAGAATTTTTTTAACAATTTATTTCTTCGATTTTGTTATCCTACGTCGGTAGATCTACCTAACGACAAGAATTGAAATAACCACGACGGTTTATATAGAAAACCGCCGACATAATCAGATTATTCTGAGATCACAAGGGTTAGGAAATCTTACAAGATGGAACTCTGTTGCTCATCATAATCTTACCAGAAAGACAATATTTTAGAGGTTAATGATGTATGTGTATTTGTGTCTTTGAGATACACAAACGCACATACACATTAACATCCAAAAAATTGCTTCTGAAATTTGACGACGGCAGCCTCATATTTGCAATCAGAGAGACAATTTTTTGGAAGTTGATGATATGTGTGCGTTTGTGTATCTACACAAACGCACGCACACATCAACATCCAAACAATTGCCTCCTAAAATTTCACGACGGCAGCCACAGATTTGCAATCAGAGAGACAATTTTTTGGAAGTGAATGATGTGTGTGCGTTTGTGTATCTACACAAACGCACACACACATTCACATCCAAACAATTGCCTCCTAAAATTTCACGACGGCAGCCACAGATTTGCAATCAGAGAGACAATTTTTTGGAAGTGAATGATGTATGTGCGTTTGTGTATCTACACAAACGCACACACACATTCACATCCAAACAATTGACTCCTAAAACTTCACGACGGCAGCCACAGATTTGCAATCAGAGAGACAATTTATTGAAAATTGGTGATTTGCAATCAGATTTGCAATCAGCCACAGATAACCAACATTCAAACAATTGCCTCCCAAGAGATGAGGTGAGACAGAGAAAGGGGCAAGAAGAAGTTGAAACCCTAATCGAATACTAAAACTGAAAGAACCCGTGGAAAAAAACCCTATTTATAATTAAAAAACCAAATCCACGTCGGTTATATTACACATAACGACGTTTAACAAAAACAATCCTCGTCGGTAACAAATACATTACGTCGTTTTATTCTTACTTAAGACGACAAGAAACGACGACGGTATAACAAAAACAGTCGTTGTTTTATATTTTTATTTGATTTAAATCAGTCACCTAGAAAAGAAACTTTACAAATTCTAGAACATTAATTTCCTCGGGAAAAAAAACTATATCTATAAGGCACTGTTTTTGAAAAATAAACTATAAGAAAAAGGGGAAAAAAATTATATTTATAATAAAAAAATAAAATCCACGTCGGTTATATTACACATAACGACGTTTAAAAACGAATCCACGTCGTGGAAAAATAATACGTCGTTTTAGTTTAGTGTTATCCACGTCGGTATATTACAATAAAACGACGTATATTATAAAAATAAACGTCGTAAATTTAAAACAACCGTCGTGTTAAATATTTCTACCATGACGCGAGATATTGAGTTATCGACTTTTATTTAGGAGTTTACTACGGCGGTACCTACAACACTACTGTCGTATTTATGTACCACGTCATAAGTTCAAATTAGCGTCGTAGTTTGTCTATTAATACGTCGTCGTTCTATGTAAACCGCCGTCTTATTACTATGAAACGGTTTGTATACATATACAACTTTTCGTCTACCTGACTTACACATGCACTGTTTCCAAACCCGAGAAAACATTTCAATCTCCCAGAGAAAACTTTTCGTCTTTTTTCCTTGTCAGAGCACTGTCAGAGTATCTCATCGTCTTCCTCTTGTCTTCGTCGTCGCCTCTGAACTTAAACACCAAAATCCGAGAGAAAGCTTTCATTGCACGCAAAAGGTAAGCTTTCATTTCTCACTATTTTTGTTGCTATATTGCATGCTCATACTGTTTTTGTTTTGAAAATCTTTTTACCTTTTTTCTGGCGAAAATCATTTTTATTCTTTCCAAGTTTGATAAAATACACAGACAGAGAGGGAAAGTTTCAACTTTGAACATAACTAATTCAACTAAATAAGACGACGGTAGCTTTTTATTTACGTGGTTAAATATGTAGACCACGACGGTTCGTCAGTCGTCCTAGCGTCGTCTTAAAATTGATCTAAGTTGTTTTTAAAATGACGGTCAATTTTTTATTTGCTTGTTTAGTTGCAGGTTTCGATTTCTCTGAACCATGGTTTTCGTTTTTCCTAATTTGATAAAATACAGAGACAAAGAAAGTAGGGTTTGGTATCTTATATAGACGACGGTATCTTATTATTGACGCCGTGTGAATGTTCATACCACGACGTTATACTAAGATACCGTCGTCTATAAAAAGATGCCAAAGCTTTTTTTCTTTGTATTTTATCAAATTAGGAAAAACAAAAACCATGTTTCAGAGAAATTAAACCTGCAATCAAACATTCACAAAGAAAGAAAAATGTTTTTGGTTTCTTATAAATACGACGGTAGCTTATTATTCACGTCGTGTGAATATCCATAACACGACGTTATATTAATATTTACGTCGTGTTAATATGAATATCACGACGTCGTGTAAATATCGCCGTAATAAGTTCTTATTACGTCTTATTTAATATTGTTTCGTCGTTGTTTAAACATTTATATTGTTCTTCTTTAAACATTTATTACGTCTGATGTTATGTTATTACGTCGTGTAAAATCTTATCATACGTCGTAGTTTATAAATAACCGTCGTTTGTGTTCTAATTTTTTTCACGAAATATTTTCACTTGCAGGTTTGTTTATTCTGTAACCATGGTTTCTCAAGACCAAAGTAAGTACTCTGGCTCCAAAAAAAATGGAGGTAAGGAGCTTGGAATGGTAACTCCTCAAGACAAGCCCTTGAAGAAGATGAAGTTTGTTTCATCTGCTGAGAAAGAACCAAGCAGCACGACAACAATTTCTGAGGATTCAAAGTCAGGTCGAGGTATGAGCACAATGCCTCGTGTTGTGAAGAGAAAATTGCAGAAAATCAAGCCAGTTGTTGAGTACAATAAAAGGGGGAAAGGATGTGGCCCTGCACATACTGAGATGCAGTCCTACATTGGTGTGTTGGCACGCTCCAGAGTCCCACTTGTGGACAAGAAATGGGCTGAAATCCCCAATGATATAAAGGAGCAGATTTGGGAAGCCGTTGACATGGCTTTTGTGGTAGGTCAAGGGGGCAAGACCTCGGTGTTATCTTCTGCTGCCAAGAAATGGAAGGATTTCAAGTCTACACTGACGAGGCATTATATCCTTCCATACATCAAGGAGAGGGAGAAATTAAGCCAACCCCCTGAAGTATATAAATTCATAGAGAAAGCAGAATGGGATGCCTTTGTAGCTTCAAGGTTATCCAAAGAATTTGAGTCTGTGCATTCTCAACATGCACAGATTAGGGAGAAACTTGAGTACAATCATCGATTGTCTCGAAAAGGATATGCTGGTTTGGAGGATCAATTGGAGGAAACCATGCCTGGGGTAGAAATTGATCGATCTACCTTATGGAAGAAAGCTAGACAGGACAAACATGGTAACATCCCGGATCCAAAGGTGGCAGAGAAAGCAAAATTAATTGTAAGCCTACACACTCTGTTTTAAATTTTTATTAAACTGTGTAGAATTCTTATTACGTCTTATGTTATATTTTTCCGTCGTGTGAATGATTTTACTACGTCGAAATATTTTAAAAAACGTCGTGAAAGATCTAAATCTGGAATCACAACTCTGTTTTCTGTAATTATAGCATAAGACGTCGGTGGTTAATTTTTTCCGTCGTGTTAATGTTATTACTACGTCGAAATGTTTTCAAAAACGTCGTGAAAGATCTAAATCTGGAATCACAACTCTGTTTTCTGTAATTACAGCATAAGACGTCGGTGGTTTATTTATTGCGTCGTTTTAAACAACTAACCACGTCGGTTTTAATTAACGTCGTTATAAATATATTATAACGTCGATTTCTATATTGGTGCGTCGTGTGAAATTATATAATGCGTCGTTTGTTTATAAATAACCGTCGTGTATTTTCTTGTGCTGACTTTTTTTTATGTCTTTGTTTTAGGATGAATTGCAAAAACAAGTGGCTGAAGGCAGTCTGAGTATAACTGGCAGTAATGATGTGTTGACCTTGGCTTTGGGTCCCGAGCATCCAGGGAGAGTAAGAGGGGTAGGTGCTGGGATTTCCCCTAGGCAATTCTTCAATTTACCTAGACCACAAAGGGTAAAGTTTGCTGATCAATTGAAGGAAAGTGTAAGAATTGTCCTTCAAGAAGAGACTAAGAAGATGGAAGCTAGAACCAAACAATTAGTAGAGGCTGAAGAAGCTGTAGAGTTTTGTACCGAGCATTTATCTGATGTTAGTACAGTTGGAGTGCCTTCAAGCCAAAAGATGGGAGTTTCAAAGCCATTATCAGGTTGCACAGTGAGCGTAGTTGATCGGGACCTGTTGAACCAAGCACATCTATATGTCTTGGAGAATACGGAGGAAGTCCTACCTTATATCGAGTACGTATGAGTTTTATTCTTTAAGTTTCCATTTTAAATTATTTCTTATGTTTATCTTATATGTTTGGGACCGTAATACTTGAATTTTGTGTGTCATGTAGGCAACATATGATCCACATCCAGACCGCTTATCCAAAATTTAGAAAGAGAACAAAGTGGCTGCAGGATAAGCACAATAGCACTTTCATTCAATGGCTACGCTTCAAGGTATATGTTATTGAATAACATATTGGACTTTTAATTTTCTTCTTTCTATGTTAGATTGAATTAAGTTATGATTAATTTGCAGGTTCAAAGTGAACTTAATGAGGACAATCATGGCGTATCAGAAAATTTAAGGTGGCTAGCAGCTGGTCCAAACATGGCAGTGCCATTATATAGGAGCTATCTCATTAAAGGTATTAAATTCAACATCAAGGCACAAGATGATGTGCGGACAACTCAAAATAGTGGAGTTTATTTACTTGCACATACTATGCAAGTTGCTAGTGCCAAGGATAAAAACCCAATTCTCTCAAATATGGGTTTCTATGGTGTCATTCAAGAAATTTGGGACCTTGACTACCAAAAGTTTACAATCCCAGTCTTTAGGTGTGATTGGATTGATAATACTTCTGGTCTTGTAGTGGACGAACTTGGATTTACCCTTGTAGATTTGAGTAAAATTGGACATAGGAATGACCAATTTGTTTTGGCTTCTCAAGTCAAACAAGTATTTTTTGTTGACGACCCGATGCATCGTGGTTGGTCGGTAGTGTTATCAATGCCTAATAGAGAATATAATGATGTTATTGGTGATGATGTCTTAGGTGATGTGAGAATTGAGTGTGAGCCATTTACTAGGGGGATGCCAAATGTTGACACATTTGATGAAGTGGTGGTTGAGTTAGGGAGTCAAAATATTCGAGATGGGTGTGAAGATATATGGGTTGAATGATGCTTTATGTAATTGGCAGTGTATGACATTAATTTTGTAATATATTGTAATGTGATTTCTTCACTTTCATTATACAGGTTTTGGCCACAAAACAATCAGTACAAAAATTACTGGTTCCAGATTACAAACACGACGGTTTTGATAAAGAACCGCCATGTAATTCAACATAACACGTCTCCAATCCCATAACACCGACGTCTAAAAGACGAGAACTTTAACCTGAACGTTACAAAAGACGACGTCGTCATGAATTTACCACGTCGCATGTTCTTTCATAAACGAAGTGGAAAAGGATGAATTCACGACGGTATTTGAAATCCATTAAATTTGTCGACGTTAAGATTTATGAATTAGACGACGTTAATTTTTTTAATGAAGACGTATAAATTATTAAACACGACGGTCTTTTTCATGGTACCGACGTTGTATATAAACGACAACGTCGTCCTCATAAATTACTGTGTCGTAATTAATGACCCCATCATTTTTTCCACGTCGTTTATTTTCAAAATATGACGTATAAATTCTGTAATACGGCTCTCATTTATTTGGAACCGACGTTGTTTATTCATTTCAACGTCGTCTCAGTAAATACATACGTCGTAATTAATGAACCTGACATCTATTTCCACGTCATAATTCGTAGAAAAATCGAAGTGGAAAATTTATTTTACGACGGTATTTGAAGTCCATTAAACTTGTCGACGTTAAGATATATGCATTAGACGACGTCAATTTTTTAAATGAAGACGTATAAATTATTAAACACGACGGTCTTTTTCATGGTACCGACGTTGTATATAGACGACAACGTCGTCCTTATAAATTACTGTGTCGTAATTAATGACCCCATCATTTTTTCCACGTCGTTTATTTTCAAAATATGACGTATAAATTCTGTAATACGGCTCTCATTTATTTGAAACCGACGTTATTTATCCAATTCAACGTCGTCTCTGTAAATACATGCGTCGTAAGTAATGACCCTGACATCTATTTCCACGTCATAATTCATAGAAAAATCGAAGTGGAAAATTTATTTTACGACGGTTGTGGGAAATGTTGTGACGTAGTAGGTGTCAATAACGTCGTCTATTATGATTGTAAAGACGTCGTATTTATATTTGTCGTTAAATATTTATTTAACGGCGTTAAGTTTAAGTTCTCGTCGTTGTATGTTTATCTTGCGGCCATGTTCTGTTAATATATGTCATCTGTTTCCTTTTTAACGACGTTTTTTTGTTGGAGTTGGTCGTCTATTCTCATCCTCGACTGTTTTTTTATGTCTTTTTGCAGCACAAAGACGTCGGTTTTTATTTTTTGATGACGTTTTTTGTTTTAACAACGACGGTTATTCACCGTCGTGGTTTGGTTATGGAAAAGATGTCGGTGGATTCCACGACCATTTGAAAACAGAATACACGACGGTGAATTCCCGTCGTGTTTTTCCTTTTTTGTAGTAGTGTTTGTATTATTAAGTAAATTTATATTAGTTTTTGCTCTAATTCTCATCATATCATGGTCATAGGGATTTATTCTTATAACTATGGTATGACTCACACTCTGATTTGAGAATATTCCTTATTTTTGAATCAAGGCGTGACCATTTAAAACTACAGTGGTTTTTTTTTGGCCAAGAAACTACAATGGAGTGCGAACAATGTTCCTTTAATAAAAGAAAGAAACTAAAGTTTGCAATCAATTTATTTTTGGGGCATTTCATATTTATATGTTAGGGCAAGTTTCACTTTATTACTTAGAAGTTTACCAAATTTCAGCTTTTACTATATCTATAGTTATTTTTATCTCACTTTATATCTAACGTTTATTTTCCCCACAACTTTCTTACCTTTGTCTGTGTTTTAGTCAAGATCTTTGTTAAACTGTGACGTGTAGAAGCTATAACCCTTTAGATGCGTGTAATGTGGCCCAAGTAGATTCCGGACTTGATAAACTCCCGCAAAAAGGGAAAAGAAAGAAGAAGAAGCATATAGATACCGAGCCATGAGCTTGCCAAATTAGATACCTCTTGCCTATAGCCTACGAGGCATTCTCTGTTTGACCTTCCATGTTGTTGACATATTCTTAATACTTTTTTCACTTAAGGATCAGAAGAATTCTGTTTACAGGGCCTAGATTTTATTTTGAAAGTAATTATTTTCTACTTTTTCTAATCAATTTGATTTATAGCTCAATGCGATTCCAATAAAGAGCAGCAAAGAAATTAGGTAGCTTAAACAAACCTCTTACTGGGGACTATACATTTTGGCCAGCACAAGAATGGTATACGTGGCAGATCCATAGTTGATGATGACTAATTAATAGCTAGGGCGGGTCCTACTTTTCAGAACGCTTGGGGCGAAAATTAATGTGTGCCCTTTTGTAGATACTCGTTTCTCATTTTCAAGTACATGTAAAAAAAATAACTTTTGTAATTTAGATGAATTAGGGGCCCTTGAGCTTTTTTATTTTTTTATTTATAAAAATTTTATAAGAATTAGTAAAATCGTAAATGAATCAGACCTCTTAAATTTTGTTATGGAAAAAAATATTAATTTTTATAAGAATGGGGCTCTTTATAAACAACATTTTCTAAATAAAATAAAACAATTGGGCCAATATAAGTTACTTGGGTTATGGACCGTCGCTCTGCCTGCACGGGAGAGGCTACAATGAGGAGTTTAAAGTGAGGAGCTTATTTGAGAAGGTCAATCTCACCATCAACAAATGTAAAGAAATTATGGGACTTAAACATTTTGAATGTTTTGATGGTCAGATTGGCCTCCTCAAATAGTCTCCTTACTTTAAACTCCTCATTATAGCCTTCTTGCTGCCCGCCCTAGGGCTAGGACTGGGCCTGTTAATAACCCAAACAGTGAAGGAGAATAAGGTAATGAGTTATGTTTAGAATGGATCTAAGTTTCAATTTCCTTCAATGTAACGAAGAAAAAAGAAAATTATAGGAACAAATTTTGACTAGATTAATGGATTATTACTGTAAGCTTTATTTTTTAGGAGCACTTAACACCTAGTATTTTAGTAAGAGACTTGTCATGTTCTAAATATTGGTTGGATGACAAGGGATTTGTAGCTCAAGTGGTTATTAAGACTGATAGGAATTAGGAGTTGGAGCCAAAACTGTAAAACAGTTTTGGATAGTTAGTTAGCCATGTGTCAAGTGTTAGTTGGGGAATCTGTTACAATTACTGTTGTATCCTTGACGGTGGCTTTATTACCAATTTGGGGAGCCATTGTACGTATTGTTGAGAAATATACAGAAACATTCTTTGGGTTCTCTCTGTTCTTGGTTAATATCTAAGGTTGAAAGATAGAGTCCTATCATTGGTATCAGGCCATTGATCCTCTAAGCTATTCCTTTAGTATATGACCCGTGCACGTGTTGCTGCGCTGGAAGCCTCTAATTCCAAGAACGACCAAGTCATTTTGGAAACAATTCAACGTCTTCTTGAGGATAAGTTTGCATCCATCGACAAACGCCTCGATTCAATTGATTCTCATTGTGAGGGTTTTGATAAGCCATTCCCGCCTCCATCTGATGACGACGATGGTGACGGCTCTCTGCGGCGCGGAGAGAGGGATCACTGAGAGAGGGAAAATGGTTTTTCTTCTGAGAATCGTATGCCCTTTGTTAAGATCGAATTTCCTTGATTCAGCGATGGGGAAGATCTAATTGAATGGATTTACAAGGCGGAGCAGTATTTTGATTACTTTTCGGTGCCTTATGAGAAAAAGGTAAAAATGGTTTCTTTCCATCTGGATAGTGAGGCTCTGCAATGGTATCAATGGGAGGAATGTGCTTCTTCTTTGTCCAAATGGGAAGATTTTACCAAGGCATTTTGCAGAGAATTTGGCTCTCATGGGTTTGAGGATTTTGTAGAGTCACTCTTTAAGCTTCGTCAAACAGGTCCCTTAAAGGATTATATCGCTAAGTTTCGACGATTGGCAACTCGAATCCGTGATCTTAGTCCTACTTTTCGATTAAGCTGTTTCGTTGGAGGATTAAAGGAAGAACTCAAGCATGATGTCAAGCTGCTTCATCCTGCTACAGTTCATGAGGCCATGAATTTTGCTCATGAAGTGGATGCTAAACTTCAAAAGTTGAGGTATGCACATTCTGCTGGAATTTCATAGTCAAGATTGCCTCTTTTACCCATTCAAAATGATTTAGTTCCTGCTAAAAATGAAGTTGTTCCTAGGAAGGATATGCCTGTCAAGAAATTAACCCCAGAAGAAATCCAATATAAACGGAAGAATAATCTTTGTTTTTATTGTGATGAAAAATTTGTGAGGGGTCATAAGTGTGCAAGGAAACAAATCTTGTTGTTGGATATGGGTTATAATAGTTCTAAGGAAGAGGAAATAGTTCATGAATTACAACAGATTGAACAAGTGGCTGAGGTGAATGCTTGTTGTATCACAACTTGTGCTTTGTATGGTACTCCGGCTCTTCTTGCTATTAAGACTATGAAACTCACCGCTATCATTAAAAACTGTCTTGTTGTGGTATTGTTAGACTCTGGAAGTTCTCATAATTTCATCGATATTGGCATGGTTAAGAAGTTGGGTTGGAAGTTAGATCAGTCTCATATTTGTGATGTCATGATAGCTGATGATGGACAAGTTCAGAGTAAGGGTTGGCTTTAGTGGTTGAGAACTCTTGGTCCAGTCTTGTGGGACTTTGAGAGATTAACTATGAAGTTTTGGCATGGAAATGAGGAAATCTATTTGTTCTTGTCAACAGATGGACAAGTTGTTGCATTCAAGTTGTTATGGTGTGATTCTCTGTGCCGTAGAATGTGAAAATATGGCCAAACCCGTAGATGATTTATCCTCACTACAACAGCATGAATTGCAAGCCTTATTGGATTCTTTTTCTGCTGTCTTTGGCACCCCAACTACACTACCTCCTATGAGAGAACATGATCATCGGATCCCAATAATTTATGGTTGTAAACCACCAAGCATTAGACCATATGCTTATGGACCACTTCAAAAGTCAGAAATTGAAAAGTGTGTCAAGGAGCTGCCGGACTCTGGATTTATAAGGAACAGTCATAGTCCTTTTTCTTCTCCTGTTTTGTTGGTCAAGAAGAATGGAGAATGTGCATGGATTACAGACAATTAAACGAGTTAACTATAAAGGATAAATATCTAATTCCACTTATTGATGATCTGTTGGATGAATTGCATGAGGCAAAGTATTTTTCCAAATTGGACTTGAGGAGTGGCTATCATCAGATCAGAGTTCATCCAGAAGATATTGAAAAAACAACTTTTCGGACTCACGAGGGACATTATGAATTCCTTATTATGCCCTTCGGTTTGACAAATGCTCCTGCCACATTTCAAGGTTTGATGAATGAGATTTTTCGGAATTGTTTATGGAGGTTTGTCTTGGTATTTTTTTGATGATATTCTTGTTTACAGTACTTCATGGTCAGATCATTTGAGGCATTTACATACTGTTTTAGAAATTTTAAAGCATTATCAACTTTTTGTCAAGATGTCCAAGTGTGCCTTTGGAGTTTCTACTATTGAATATTTGGGCCACATCGTCCCTAGGCAAGGAGTTTCAGCTGATCCTTCCAAATTAAACGCAGTGGCTAACTGGCCTGTACCTACTTCTGTTAAAAGTTCAAGAGGATTTTTGGGTCTCACAGGCTATTATCGGAAATTTATTCCTTACTATGGTAGGGAAAGTTTCCCTTTGACTCAGTTAACTAAGAAGGATGAATTTTTGTGGACTCCAGAGGCTACTGCTGCCTTTCACAAACTCAAGGAACTCATGTTATCTCCTAGCGTTCTCGCCTTGCTAGATTTTACAAAACCTTTTATCATTGAGAATGATGCTTCTGGATCTAGTATAGGAGCTGTGTTACAACAGGAAGGCAGGCCTATTGCTTTTACCAGCAAGACTCTTGGTCCTAGAAACTTAAGTTCTAGCTGTTGCTGGTCCTACACAATCACCTCATGCACCATCTCTTTCTACAACAAATCATTTACTTAAGTTTCACATTGACAATGGTCTCCTTAAATATAACTCCAGAATAGTCCTCAATCCTGATTCGATTTGGAAGAACAAAGTTTTTGCTGCTCATCACTTAGTTCCAACGGCTGGTTATGCTGGGTTCTTGAAGACTTATCAAAGACTTTCTTGGAGTTTTTATTGGCCAGGTATGAAACATGATGTGCAGAAAATGGTAGCTGAATGTCACACATGTCAACAACATAAGTATGAAACTGTGACTCCTGCTGGATTATTGCAACCCTTGCATATACCAGATAAGGTATGGACTGATATCTCAATGGATTTTATTGTTGGATTACCCCATTGCCAAGGGAAATCTGTCATTTTTGTAGTAGTTGATTGTCTGAGCAAGTATGCCCATTTCATTGCTTTATCCAATCCTTATTCAGCTGCTACCATTGCTCAGCTCTTTGTGGACCATGTGTTTAAGTTACATGGTATGCCTAGCTCCATTGTTTGCGACAGGGATCCAATATTTGTTAGTGACTTCTGGAAAGAATTCTTCAAATTGCATGATGTAGCTTTACGGATGAGCTCTGGTTATCATCCACAGACTGATGGCCAAACTGAAGTGGTTAATTGGTGTTTGGAGACCTATTTAAGGTGCTTTGCTGCTGCTCAGCCCAAAAAATGGTTGCTTTGGTTATCTTGGGCAGAATTTAGCTATAATACAGCCTATCATACATCAGCCAAGCTAACCCCATTTGAAGTTGTTTATGGTTATCCCCCACCCATGGTTACACCATATGAGCCAAGCACTACAAGATTCGCCAATGTTGATAGAAGCTTGGTTGCCAGAGACGGAATGTTGACCTTGTTGAAATCTAATCTCCTTATGGCATACAATCGAATGAAGACTCAATCTGATAAACATCACTCCAAAAGGGAATTTCAGGTTGGGGATATGGTGTATTAGCGTTTGGTACCTTATCGGTTACAGTCCTTGGCTGCTTACTCATACCACAAACTTTTGCCCAAATTTTATGGACCTTATGAGATACTGGAGAAGTTGGGACCAGTGGCTTACAAACTCCAATTGCCTACTGGTTGTAAGATCCACCCCGTATTTCATGTGTCTTGTTTGAAGAAGCATTTAGGAACTCATGTGACTCCTTCGTTAACATTACCTCGAATTATTGAAGATGGTATTGTGCAAGATGAGCCACTGACTATTTTGGAAAGGAAGTTAGTCAAACGTGGTAATGCTGCGAGGGTGGATGTCCTAGTGCATTGGAAGGGTCACACACACCAGAGGATGCCACATGGGAGGACTACCATGACCTCCAGGCCAGATTTCCAGAATTCATTGCCCAGGTTGAAGCTGCTTTCAATTCCAGATGAATCATGTTGCAATTGCTGTAGCAACTCTGTTTTTGTTCTAATAAGTTTTCAATGCTTGTAAACTTAGCTTCAAAGGGAGGGGTAATGATAGGAATTAGGAGTTGGAGCCGAAACTGTAAAACAGTTTTGGATAGTTAGTTAGCCACATGTCAAGTGTTAGTTGGGGAATCTGTTACAATTACTGTTGTATCCTTGACGGTGGCTTTATTACCAATTTGGGGAGTCATTGTACGTATTGTTGAGAAATATACAGAAACATTCTTTGGGTTCTTTCTGTTCTTGGTTAATATCTAAGGTTGAAAGATAAAGTCCTATCAAAGACATGTACCATTGCCTACACCTGAGGCCCTAGATTCTTCCGCCATTATCAATTGTATAAATAATAAAAAAAAGTATTTGTTGGATGAAAATTAATTCAACCGTAATTAGGACATATTTCATAGATGATTTAAATTACATGCTCTAAGCCTCTCTCTTATTAATTAACTGCAGATGAAACTTCTTCCACAAGTATATGGTTGGTGCTATTAGTGAGATCCTAGCTTAATTAGGAGATTTATTTCCTAGTTTATTAGGACTATATTTCTTTCCTTTTGTACAGATATTGTGTAATTAGGATTTTATCTTATTTCCTAATTTGACCCTACTAGGGTTACATCCTTGTATTATAAATACATCCTTTTGGAGAATGAAATACAACCTGAAAATATTCTACCCATATTATTTGACTTGGTACAGAGCCAAGTTTTTTGGTGACCTGTGTGTTGTGCCCACCCGTGTTCTAGCCCCATATTTTCAAAAGCTTAGTTAATAAGGCCTCTGCCCATTATAATCGTCTGGGGGATCATAGTTGCACCCAATGAAGGTGCCTCCGTTGTTGCACCTTGCTTTTGCACACCCTAGACGAACTGAGTTGAGCCAAACAACTTGAGTATAATGGCCACACAACTTGCCGGAAGCACGTGAGTTAGAGTTGTAATCATAGCTGGACTTCTCTAATACAAACATGTTCACGGCCGTCGTGGCCGACAAGTCACTGCTGCTCTTCGCTATGTTTTCGCCATAAGGTCCACGGCAGTGCACAAGATTGCAGTCACCAATATGGGAATCGGGGTGCATAGGCCGCTACGTTGGGATCCCAGGTTAGGGGCAGAACACCCACTTGCGCTTGAGCGAGGTTGTGGGCATTGAGGTAGTCTTGTGGTGAGTCTTGACCGACATTTTTTGGACTAGGGTTAAGCCCAGGAGAAAAACTAGGGCAAACGAATTCTTACACAACCCCATATTGGCTTGTATGAGCATTGCAAATAATATCTTGGGTGTGATTGATGAGGAATGAGAGATGGAGCATGCAGTAGATATAAGGGAAATGTTTGAGGGAGTAAATGAGAGTAAAATAACAACTTAGGTTACAATTGAAGGGAGCATTCACTTAAATAGGCAAGGCTTGGGCCTTCCATTGTGGCTTCCTTGTGGGCTTCATGTAAGCTCAGTGAGGCCCAAACCATGGTACAAACATACTCTACATTTACATTGATTTGATACCCATGTGTAAGATCAATACGGTTCCCATAAAGCATGGCAGAAATTTGGTTAGCATAAAAACACCTCTCATATGGAATTACATACTAGTTCATCTTCTTTCTTTCCCTTTGGTTTTTTATTTTATTTTTTATTATAGTTCATCTTGATCCAATCAAATTACATATCTAAATGATTTTTGTTGTACAAAACAAAGCTTAAATGAGTAAAGTTTTTTTTTCTGTTGTTGAGAAGATTGGATTTCATTAACACATCAAGAAAATAGTACACGATATGACATCATGTATACAAATGGCTGCATTAAAACCTTTCTGAGGAAAACCCAAAGACAAAATCTCAGAGGAGGAAAGAGTATCACACATGCCACAGACTACAGAAGAGTCAAACATCACCAAAACTATCAGGACAGTCCCACAACAAAGAGGGTGGCTCCTCAAACCAAAAAGATAGATCGTCCTGACTAAGGCTAAAACATGCAATATGATATGCAACTCCACTAGCAGTCCAGGGAACATAGTGAACAAAACATGACGACACTGAAGCCAAGAGGTGATGGATGTCCTCCACCAGAACCCTTTCCGCCGCATAGCATACCTCATCCTTGAGAATAAAGTGGGTTGCAGATAAAGAGTTGGTCTCAATAACCAAGGGAAAAAAAGATGCATCAATCGCAAAGGAAATCCCAAACTTTAACGCATATAACTTAGTGGCTAGGACATACAGCAAACTGGGAGCACGCAATGCAACTGCATCATAGAAACAGCCCACTGAATCACGCACCACCATACCACCACCACGGGTCCCCGAAGACATATTGAGTGCACCATCAACATTAAATTTACAAAAATCAACAGCCATCACTTTTCAGGAACTGACACATAAGATGGCCTATGATGAAGTAAAAAGATCTTTTGGAACTCAGCATCATAGTCCTTAGCACAATAAATAATCTGTGCAGGGGGTATCACCTCTGAATCAAAGAGAATATAATTGTGGACATTCCATAATAACCAAAAAATAATCGCAAACAGGGAACGGTGACCACTAGGTACATTGTCCCAAGTAGCCAACAACCAGCTGGCGGCATCAGTAACAGGTAAACTAACAAGACATGACTCCTAGCCCAAAAGTTACCATACCGGATAAACAACCTCACAATCCTTATGGGCATGTAGAGATGTTTCAACCTGGTCGGTACACCGAAAACAACTGACCTCATACGTGATCTTCCGCTTAAAGAGAACATTACAGGTAGGCTGTTTACCATTTTTTTGGCCAGTGTAGGTATTTACTTGGAAAAAAGGTCATTTTGGTCATTGTGGTTTATCACTTTTATCATTAAGGTCCATGTGGTTTCAATTTGATCACTTTAGTCCATGCGGTTTCAATTTGAAGTAATTCAATGACAATCCTCAATTTCTGTCAACCGTTACTTGTGGAGGGGCAATTGTCAAATTATTAAAAAATTCAATCCTTTTAAAAATAAACGATACAAAATGAAAAAAAATAATAAATAAATAAATCTCTTCTTCACTCGCTCTTTCTCGTCCCCTCACCCTCCCACTACAAAACTTCTCAAGATACCCCACGTCACTCTCTATCTCTCTATGTTTCTCTCTCTTCTCCCAAGCCTAGCCCTAACACCCACACAGTCACCCACCCAGCCACGACCTTCCTCCTCTCTTGCCCTTTATTCTGAACCTACTCGTGTTTCCCAGCACAGCCCATTAACACAAACTTTTTGCCCACTCCTAAAAACACGGCCTCCATCAATGACAACATAAAAGGATAGAAAGAGAGGGAGAGAGGGAGAGATTTTCCTCCATATATGGTCTCAGCCACCTCATATTTGGAGTTTGGCAAGGTCCCCGCCTCCATTATTGTATGTCTGATGTTTTCAAATTTAGTATGGTGGTTTAGATTGCGGGTATGGTGGTGGTGTTTTAGATGGTGGAGGGATATAGGAGGTGGTGTGCTGTGGTTGGTGTTGTGTGGGTCATTGTGGTTGAGGCGGCAGTTTATTGGGTGGGGCTGGGAAGGGGTCGAGAAAGACCTAAGGGAGAGAGAGAGAGAGAGAGAGAGAGAGCCCTTTAGAGGTTGGGGGTGTTAAAGCTTTCCACGTACTGTGGGACAGATAGGTGAAGCATGTGTTTTAGCCTAGTTGAAATTTGGTCAGGTCATGCCATGGCTAGGAGCTAAAAATCATATATGCATTTGAGTGCCTAAAAGGTGCCAAGAGCCTAAATGCGGTCGAATGCATAAAAGTGGCCGAATGCCTAAAAACGACCAAATGCTTTAAGCAACCAATGCTAAGAGAGGCAATGACAGATAATTGCATTTCCTTTCAATTCCTTATACTTTCTCGTTCAATCTTTATTACCACACACTTACGGTTTCAGATTTATGGTTTTAACCTTCAAATTGAAGGAATGTGACAAAAGGTCTTAATTGGCATGACTGGGAGAGTTGGATGACCAAATTGATTAAAAAAATAAAAATTTAAGGACCAAATTGCGGTTAAAAAACTAAATAAAATTGATGCAATGCTTTTAAAATTGAATCACCATGATAGCATATATTTCATATAACCATTTATAGAATCCACAACAGCAATTTTTGTAAGAGGAAAGCAATTGAAATTAATAAGATTAGCTCCCAAAGTCCATGAACTCAAGTCATCTCCGAAATATCTTGGGATTGACACCATTTGAACAATCTTTCATTTCCACTCACAGCTTCACCTCGTCTATAGGACAAATTCAGGAACAACGAACAGTACTTCCCACTAGTTTTACTTCTCTTGACTCTATCTTTTTTAGTCTTTGTCTTGAACTTGCGCATGATAGATAGTCATTTAAATATATCATTCGAAATATGTCAATTCCAACGCCCATGGAATGTACAAGTTCGTGCCGGGTAGTCATCAACGCACTCAAGAGGAAGGGATAAAATCAAAGCTGGAACTGAATCCTAGAAAGATTTACGACACACACACCTTTTGCTGATAGCTTAAAAACGTCACAATAGTCATTAGAAAAAGCGTCAAGAGTACCGACATCAATAAAGGGTACTATCGTTCTTGACACTCATTATTTCCTGACATCTAAAAAAAGGCACAAACCAGTCGAAAATCGTCAATGAACTCTTCTCTTAATGCTTTGTAACTATCAACAAGTATATTTCCTGACATTCAAGTGTAAGTCTGTACTAAGCCTTTATGCAATAATACTAACCTTGTTCAGCCATTGAAGCAGAAGAGAAATCTGGTTTCGTCTAGAAAGTCTTCTTCCCTCTGCAGCTCTTTATGTCTCTGTCTCTTAGATAGGGTGAGTACTGATTTTAGAGCGTGTTTGCTGCAAGGGAAGGGACCTCTATTTATAGATGCATCACTACGAAAACCTTGCCTATCAAGAAGTATTCGAGTGTCCTTTTTGCATTAGAATAGGTTTGTTTCAATCCATGTTGTATTAGGAATCCTGATAATACTTGTGTTTGATTTTAATAAGCTCTGTACAAGCATTATCCAATAAGGATTGAGTTGTATCTCCTGATCAAACCAAAACCCGAGTCCTCTTAGGATTAGAAGATCACCTTTTATGGATTAAGACAATAAATTGTCTTACATTCTCCCACTTGATCGATTAATCCCAAAGTTTTGTGTTGATCACTTAAGGCCTTGGTGAAATATAACTCAATCTGATTCCATCAAGCAATTGTCAATTTTAAAGAATGAAAAAGGAACCATCAAGACTTCACTGAATATATAAGGATCCAGAGTCTTTATAATCACATTGATCATTCTTTAAAACCACATAAGCTTCCATCAAGATTAAACAGAAAAATAAACATGTTTCACTGTAAAGTTTTATGAACATGTCTATTCATTGTCCCTTAATTTGACTACTAAGGTCTTATCATTTAAAATGATATCCTGTCATGAATGAAAATCATATGCAGATATCTTCAGCTAGCTTTCTGCTCAATTCATTCAAGTGTTTATAAGAATATATATACATAACAATTAAACGTGTAAACTGTTTAACTAGAAAACTTTATTTCTGAATCAGAAACTGAAATCAACATCCATCGAAAACCATGACCAACTGTAAATTAAGACTTTAACAGAAAACTACTCTAAACTTAACAAGGCTCCCACTGATTTAAGCATTCAAATCATTCCTTAATCCCATGCTCATAACATGCCTATGGAACACTGCATTTGGGACTCCTTTTGTGAGAGGGTCTGCTATCATTTTGTCTGTACTGATATGACTTATATTAGTATAGCCTTGAGCAATTTTCTCCTTCACTATTATGAACTTGACATCCAATAGTCTTGAACCCTTTGTCCTTTTGTTTCCTTTTGCAAACAAAACAGCTGCGCTGTTGTCATTCCATATTTGAATTGGTCTGTGTATCGATTCAACCACATTCAAACTGATAATGAAATTTCTTAACCATATGGCTTGAGAGGTGGCCTCATAGCATGCTAGAAACTCTGCAAACATAGTTAAACCTGCTGTCAAAGGTTGTTTTACACTTCTCCACGACACTGCACCTCCTCCAAACATGAATACAAAACCTGATGTTGATTTCATGGAGTCTTGACATCCTGCAAAATCAGCATTTGCATAACCTTGTAATTCCAGCGTGCCACTTCTTTTGAATGTTAGTTTGTAATCTTTTGTCCTTTGCAAGTATCTTAACACTCTTTTCCCTGCAATCCAGTGAGCTTGTCCAGGATTGGACTGAAATCTTCCTAGCACACTGATTGCAAAAGCCAAGTCAGGTCTGGTACAAACCTGCGCATACATTAGGCTTCCAACTAGTGAAGCATATGGTTTGTCAACCATTTCCAGCTTTTCTTGCTCAGTCTTAGGTGCTTGTTCAGTGCTTAGCTTATCCCCTTTTGCAATAGGAATATCACTTCCTGTGCAGTTTTGCATATTGAATCTCTTGAGCACCTTTTCTATGTAGGATTTTTGTGATAGTCCAAGTACCCCATTCTTTCGATCTCTGCTTATATCAATGCCTAAAACATAAGATGCCTCAGCTAGATCAGTCATTTCAAAGTTCTTAGATAGGAAATTCTTGCAGTCATGTAACATGGTGAGATTTGTGCAGGCTAGTAAAATGTCATCTACATACAAAACTAGTAAAATGAAATGTCTCCCACTCATCTTCATGTATATGCATTCATCTAAAACATTTTCAACAAAACCAAAGTCTTTCACTACCTTGTTGAACTTTAGGTACCACTGTCTAGAGGCTTGCTTTAATCCATAGATTGACTTGTTTAGCTTGCAGACCAAGTCCTTTCCCCCTTCTTGAACAAAACCTTCAGGTTGCACCATGTATATGTCTTCTTCCAAATCTCCATTTAGGAAAGCTGTCTTGATGTCCATCTGGTGCAAGTGGAGGTCAAAATGTGCTACAAGGGCCATGATAACCCTTAATAATCCTTGGTCGAGACCGGTGAGAAAGTCTCATTAAAATCTATTCCTTCTTTCTGTGTGAATCCCTTTGCAACCAATCTTGCCTTATACCTATCTATCTGTCCTTTTGAGTCCAGTTTCGTTTTATATATCCATTTACTACCAATTGGTTTGCAACCTTGAGGTAAGGTCACAAGCTTCCAGACTCCATTTTTCTCCATTGAATTCAGTTCTGACTTCATTGCTGCAAACCAGTTTTCTTTCTTTTCACTTGTCATGGCCTGTTTGAATGTTGCAGGATCTTCCATGATATTCACATCATGTTCTACTCCCTGTAGGTATACAAAATAATCATCTCCTAAGGCAGGTTTTCTTTGCCTTTGTGATCTTCTTAGTTCCAAGTTTGGTTCTGGATTTGCTACTTCTTGTGCTTGAGCCATGTCTTGATTTTCTGCTGGTGGTGCTTGATTTTCATTTAACTCCATTGGTTCTGCAATTTCAGGTTCATTGACATTGGTCTCTTCAGTGTGTTCGAGTTGAGTGTTGATTGAATCCATTTGAGGTAATCTAACAATTACTTTACTTGGATTCTGTGGCATGTCATGGTTCAAGATTATTTCTTCAAAACTAAAACTTTCTTCCTCATCTATTTCTTGGTCAGTTTCTATAAAAACTGCTCTTGAGGTTTCTATGAATCTGGTAGTGTGTTTGGGACAATAAAATCTGTATCCCTTTGTTCTTTCAGGATAGCCAACAAAAAAAACCACTTATGGTTTTTGGATCCAACTTCTTTTTTGCTGGATTGTAAGGTTTTGCTTCTGCTTTACAACCCCATATTTTCAGATGTTTAATGCTAGGCTTCCTTCCATTCCACACTTCATAGGGAATTCTATTAATGCTTTTGGTTGGAATTCTATTTAGAATATAGTTGGCTGTTTTTAAAGCCTCTCCCCAAAGAAAAATTGGCAGATTTGTACAGCTCATCATACTCCTTATCATCTTTCAAGGTCCTGTTTCTTCTTTCTGAAATTCCATTTTGTTGAGGTGTACCTGGGTTGGTGTACTGAGCTATAATTCCTTCTTCTTGAAGAAACTTAGCAAAAGGTCCAGGATTCCTTCCAGTCTCATCAAACCTTCCATAGTACTCTCCTCCTCTATCCGATCTAACCACCTTTATTTTCAAGTTCAACTGGTTTTCTACTTCAGCCTTATAAATTTTGAACTTGTCCAATGCACTTGATTTTTCTTTAATGAGATAGATATATCCATATCTTGAAAAATCATCTGTAAAAGTTATAAAGTAGTTAAATCCCTCATGAGTTGGATTTGGAAAGGGTCCACATATATCCGTATGAATGAGTTCCAGTAAACCTTTGCTTCCTAATGCCCCTTTCTTTCTTAAGTTGGTTAATTTCCCTTTGATACATGGAATGCAAACTTCATCTTCGTTTTCATGATTCAATGGTGGTAAGACAGATTCCTTACACAGTTGTGTTATCCTTTCTTTTGAAACATGTCCAAGTCTTTATGCCATAATTTGAAGGAAATCTCATTGGTTTTGGTTTGCACAGTGTTTATTTCCATTTCAGTTCTTTTGCAGTTTAATCTAAACATTCCATCAATGAGACTTGCTTTGCCAACTAAAACTTTATTTCTGAAAATAGAACAACCAGTTCCATCAAAATTCAAACTGAACTTTGATTTTACAAGTCTAGTAACTGAAATCAAACTTTTCTTCATAGAAGGAACATAAACTACTTCATCTAATTCCAAAACAAAACCAAATTCTAACTTGATTCTAACTGTCCCTATGTAATTAACTTGGACTTCTTCTCCATTTCCCACGAACACCTTCACTTCATCCTTGCTTGGCAGCCTCTTGCTTGTAAACTCCTGCAAGGAATTAGCTACATGAATAGAAGCACCACTATCCAACCACCATGAATCACTTGAGAAATTAACCAAATTAGATTCGAAACAGACCAAAATCAAATTGTTATTACCTTTTCCCTTCTTCTTTTCCAGCCACTTTTTGTATTTCCTGCAGTCTCTCTTCATGTGTCCTGCTTTCTTGCAAAAGAAACAACCTAATCCAGTTGTAGGTTTCAAAGCCTTATCTGTACTGTTTTCCTTTTCTTTCCCAGCAGCAGGCTTATACTTGTTTTCTTTGTTCTGTTTAGTCTGAACCATGTTGACCATTTTGGCTCCCTTTTCTCTTATGATATTGTGCTCTTGTTGGACAGAAATAGTAATAAGATCATTCAAGGTCCAGGTCTCCTTCTGAGCAATGTAGGTTTCCTTGAGAGATTTAAACTCTTTAGGCAATGAATTCAGTGCAAAATGGACCATCATGTCCTCATCTACTGTCATATCCAGCTCTTGTAATTTTGTTCCTATGTCAATCAAGTTCATGATATGAGCTCTCACACAACCCTGTCCATCATACTTCATATCAATCAATTGATTCAGCAGGGAACTCTTGACAGCTTTTTCAGATTCCTTGAACCTTTGTGCAATTGACTCATAGTATTGCTGTGCATTCTTAGACATAGCCCTTTGCATGATTAACATAGCCATCTTGTTTGCCTTTTCCCATTTGGCAAACTTAGTCTTAGTTTCTGCAGAAGCATCTGCAGCTGGTTCCTGGGGAGGTTCCTCTCTGAGCACAAAATCGTAATCCAGAAAACCTAGAGATATTTCCAGATCTTGTTTCCATTTGCTATAATTTGATCCAGTCAAGGTTTCGATGGAGTTGTGATTCACTGTAGAATTTGCAATACAAATTAAATAAAACTGTCCCTAAACTTTACTTAAAGATGTTATCTCATACCTTTGGGTTTAAGTTTAAACATGTTCCAAAATCCTAGACAGTTAATCGTACAAGCTTCCTGCGCAAGTAACTCACATCTGTGGATGTAAAGATACTCACATGCCAGTGCAATCAACTGTCCAGATTGTTCCATAAGTGCTGTGATCAATCTGTACAACTTTCCATCTGTGGATGGAGAATCATATAGAAGGCTACGAACACTGATGCAATTTTCTGACCAAACTGTTAAATTCAAGAACTCCTACACAGCCTGAGCAGCTGTGGCTTACTCATTCTGCATAGCAGTTTTCAAATTTTGGTCAAAACTTTATGAGCAGAGATAACCTTATGCTCTTTTAACAGTTAAGATTTACAAACAAAAGAAAAACTGCATTCTTTATAGCTTACGATCAATTAGTCAGATTAAAGAACAAAAGCCTAGAGCTCTGATACCACATGTAAGTCTGTACTAAGCCTTTATGCAATAATACTAACCTTGTTCAGCCATTGAAGCAGAAGAGAAATCTGGTTTCGTCTAGAAAGTCTTCTTCCCTCTGCAGCTCTTTATGTCTCTATCTCTTAGATAGGGTGAGTACTGATTTTAGAGCGTGTTTGCTGCAAGGGAAGGGACCTCTATTTATAGATGCATCACTACGAAAACCTTGCCTATCAAGAAGTATTCGAGTGTCCTTTTTGCATTAGAATAGGTTTGTTTCAATCCATGTTGTATTAGGAATCCTGATAATACTTGTGTTTGATTTTAATAAGCTCTGTACAAGCATTATCCAATAAGGATTGAGTTGTATCTCCTGATCAAACCAAAACCCGAGTCCTCTTAGGATTAGAAGATCACCTTTTATGGATTAAGACAATAAATTGTCTTACATCAAGAGCTCTTTCTTGATGATTTTTTAGCAGAGTTAGGGTAACTATCTATATAAAGAAATCAATATCGAGGCTAGACTACGTATTTTTGTACTTAATGTGAGGCAACCTGGCTATAGCTATATTTAGTTTACCATAATTCAACCAAGATAACCCAGCAGATACAATTAAGTCTTCCCTAGTTACTTATTATATGCGAAATTATTATTATCTAAAATTCATATTTCATTGATCAAGGTGTTGATACCGTGACTAACCGAACAACTAGCTAAGCAGGATCAGCCACGTGCCGTGTTTTGAGAGTGTAGGGGTTTTTTTCGGTTCCGGCAGCTACTGATGGGCCTAGACTGCTGTAAAGAGCCAAATGTATGAAATTGGCCCTTGAGTCTGAGTTCAAGGATTATACCCCAAGAGTGTTTCGAAAGGGTAGCTGAGCCTTAGGAAACATCATGGTCTTCTTCACCAATGAAACCAACATTCGCTTACAGATAAATTCTTGGCTTGGTATGAGAAGCTTGTGACATGGGAGTTGAGCATTCATGAGTTTGTCATGAGAAAGAGAAAGAGCTGCGATTTCCTATGAGAAACATGAGTTTTAAGGCAAGAGGGAAGAGATTCTAAGAGGGTTCGTTGAAGAGAGAGAGATGAGGGAATAACAATGGGTGTGTTGAGTAATCTTCGGCAGCCTGACAAAAGCTCTCCCATGCTCTAGAATGGCTTGCCATAAGAGAAAATGAGAAGAGATGGAGGAATAGAGCTCGAATTTGAAGGGTTCCAAGGATGAAAGATGAAGTTTGCTCTCTGGCTTTTTTTTAGTTGTTTTTGGGGGGTAGAAGGTGCCTCCCTTTTATAGGCGCTGGAAGCTTCTTCTTCCCAAAAAAAACCCTAGTTGGTTCTCTCCAATTTTGCCAAGTCTCCCCATCCCTTTCTCTTCTCTTCCTTTGATTCATCCCTATTTTGTGAAATCTTCCTTAGTCCAAGCACTCAAAGACAAGATTTTTGGGAGCTCTAAGGCTTTCCCGCAGCTGCTTTAGTAATGAACTCCCATTTTTGGCTACCTCCTCACCTTGGATTTTTTGAGCCTTAACAGAGAGGTCGTCACCTTTTCCATAGAAGCCTTGCCACAAGTTACAACTATGAGCAATACCAAGAGTCCCACATTGGAAAACTACAAGAGGTAGAGACTCCCCTTCATCTAGAAAAGAAGACCACTTTCCACTTAGAAAAGGGTCTTGACTTTTGGGTCTTGGATCTTGGACCACCATCTTGGGCCTTGGGCCTTCCCTTTCTTTCCTTCACTTCAAGTCTAACCCCCCATGTAAACAACTACTATTATAATGAAAACATCATTCTTCGTGAATGTAGCCCATCATTCGGGTGAACCACGTATATCTGTCTTATGCATACTTACTTTATTTATGTTGACTTTCACAACCTATTGAAGGCAATAACCTACGGAAGGCCTTTACTATCCACTAACCTACCGAAGGTCCTCACTTTCACTCAACTTGCCGAAGGCGGTTACTTGCCTTGCTTCCTGAAGACACATACATGCACATGCTGAAGGCCCTCTCTTTCACACATCATCCATCACTTCACATCTATCTAAGTTGAATCCGATTTTGAACATCAACACAAGGATTACGTCATACACATGTTTGCTTTTGTATGATAATTGCTGAACATAGAAAATCATAAATATTCTTCACTAGATCCACTTTATTATTGCCAACAAAGGTACTGTAAACAGAGATGGTAGAGTCACAGGAGTTACACGATTATTTAGAAGCAACGTAAGCCCTTATTTTTCATATTTCAAACCCATGGGCATCCAAAAGCACGGACTGAGTCAGCAATTGAAGCTGTTTAATTTAGCATACCCAGCCAAAAACATGATTTTCGACCTAATGCTTCTTACAAAAGTAGCAGAAACACGCGAATCCTGTACGGACTTTAACCCCGAAAAATTTGCCAAAAGTAGCATGGCAAGCACCGTGCTTTGCGCGCTCCTATGTTCTGCATTGTTTTTCACAATTCTTGGTTTTGATACAAATGCCTGACCATGTCTTGCTTCGCCTCGACTCCAACCGGCACGGCACTGCTGTGGCTTCTGCCGTTGGCACTAATGCTGTAGAACAAATTGCAGAAATAGAATAATATATTAGAATTAGAATGCAAGCATACACTTAACCCAATAATAATGCATGTTTCTGATGTTAAACAGAGATGATATAAGCTGTTGATGAGTTCATATAAAAGTTGGGTTTTAATAACTCACCCCAAGGAAGCAATGAAAAGCAGAACAATTAGAAGGGCAATTATTGTACGGAAGGCGGCGACAGACTTTGCCATCTTTGAACTCTTTCTTAGTTCTTGTGCTCGATACTGCAAATGAGGACCAACCCCTAATTTATAGTCTTAGGAAACAGTTTCTCTCTTAATTTTTTTAAAATTTATTTTCTTTCTTTATGAACATCATGACCATTAAATTAATTAGTTGTTATTCTCCACAAATTTGTAGAATCCGGCCTTTTAATATTTCTATACACACCTCATTGACTGGATCTCTACAAACGTGGATGCAACAGTATTCTAATTTTGGAAATAATTCAACTTCCGTGCTGGAAATTTCCGGAAAGCGAAATTTCTCAGGTAAAAATAAAAACTACAGTAGTAGAAACAAAATGAAAAAGTTATCAAACGAACCCATAGACATCACATATCGGTAAAATTGCTCAGGTCTCATCAAAACTATAATCTAATTATCTAGTTTTCTTCTTGTGATGAGATAGTTGACAATTTTAATGTCACAGTCAATCCTAATTTATAACCTGATGACCTATTTCATGTACAGGGTACAAGCAGCAAAACAAAACCTATAGATACTACCCATGCATAACCTGATGACCTTGCACACTCAGATACCTACAGGCCCTTCCCAATTTGGCCTTCATGGCGGTGACAAGCCTACAAATATTTAAAACTTTTTTTGACATGGAAGGTTACTACTCTTTTTGTAGACTACAATATTCTGACCAAGTTATGAGCACTAAGTATCTAAAACATTAACGAAAATTTGAAATATTTATACAACTACTTTCTTTTATATTAATTTGTACCAATGTTGCCAACAGGATCTGGCCTAGTAAAAAAGGGCATTAACTTATAAATCAGAGATCTCAATTTTGAACCCCCATGACCAGTGACGGGGCCCGAATTGTATGTATGGAGGGCCGAACTATAATACAAGTATAGAAAAAAAAATCAATCTTAAATCAATAATATATATACTAGCCTCTCTGCACGTGCTTCCGCGCTTGCAAGAGACTTTTTTTAAAAAAATTTAAATTTATTTTAGAATTAAAAAAGATAATGGGCAGTTATGTTTCATAAAAATATGATCTATTATCTTATATTTCTTTTAATTTTAATTTTTTAAATAAGAAAAAGTGTGAATTTAACATATTATCCTAATTTAATTAATAATTTCAATTCTAAATTTTTGCATTAATCATGGACATTTTCTAGTATTTTGAATGTTTCACCATTCTCTGCCTTTTACTTTATATATATAAGAAAAAATGGACATTTTTTAGAATTTTGTACTCAATTTCATGTATCAAAACGGAAAATTCTATTGATTAAATCTCATTTCCCCTTACTAATTTTTTTTTTTTTTTTTTTTTTTTTTTTTTTTGGTTTTTTCTATTATTTTTTCTTTTTTCTATTCGCCGGCTTTGATTTGATTAGAGGATAAATACTTTCCTTTTTTTTTAATGTCAGATGTGTAATGGGCCCACAACATTTTACATATAATTATAAATGAAGTTATTATGGATTGCAATTTGGGGGCCATTAGAATGGTTATATGGTTTGCATTGTTAAATATATGAACTAAAGCCCAAGCTTTACTGTGTTGAGAACAAATTGTGGAGGGGCCAAGGCCACCTCAGACCCTAGTGTACCTCTGTCCCTGTTCATGGAATTATTTATGTGTGTGTGAGAAACTCTCTCCCCTCTCCATTTTTATAGAGTTTATCTTGCTAAGATTTATTTTTAACTTCCCTTGATAACTTCGTATTTACATTTTTATGTGTAAAAAAATTCAGCTCGGTAGTCTTTTCTTTGTTCAAGTATTATCGCAAGAAGTCTTATGCAATCAAGATGGAATCCCACTCTATGAAGGTTTCAGACGGTAAGTTATTACATGCATTTCATTCATTCTGCATTTAGCATTTCGAATGTTTGAAAAATGTTTTTTTTTCTGTTATCTGATGTGTTTCATTCTGCTTTTTCTTGCCAGATCATTAAACTGTTCCACGTGATATTCACATGGTTTTCATGTTTGTCCTCTTGTGAGTACCATGATTGGCTGACAGCTGCATAGTACAAGTAGGGCACTGTGCATAGCTGCCGTCACGACTTTTAGCTCATTTAAGGAAATTTTTTTTAAGTCACTGCCTTTGCATTTTTTCCTCTGAGCTTGGTCTGAAAGGTTTTTGCGCAAAAGGTTTCTCTTTTTAAAATCTGCTGGTCTTTTCCTTCTTGAGTATGCATCCATATCTAGAATCACATCTTCATCTAGATTTAGATAAGATACCTGCATTAGTTTCTTGAAGGGAGTGAACTTCACTTTGCAGAATCTACTGGGTGGGTTTCTGGGTGAACATGTCTGTGTGTTGATTTTGTGATTGTGACTAATCATCTGTTGTTATTATTCCTATTTCTGATTTAATGGATGCTCACATACATACCACCATAGTTGTTGCTAGCACAGGGGGTGCCTAGATTGACGGGTCTTTTTAAGTGCTTAAGTTGTCACCTAGTTTCTTCTAAGTCTGCAGGGGTTTTGATTATTATTGTTGTATGTGTGTGGTTTGTGAATTGTAATCTCAGGTCTTTGACTAGTAATACATTGTTCGGGGACATTGATTCCACTCTATCTTTTAACACTCTGGTTAGAGCATCTACAGTGGGGGGTGTAAATTCGGGGGTGTAAAGCCAAATTTACATCCCCTTTACATCTCCAGCGGGTGTAAATATGTTTTTTGCTCTAGTGGGGGGGGTGTAAATTCGGGGGTGTAAAGCCAAATTTACATCCCCTTTACATCTCCAGCGGGTGTAAATATGTTTTTTGTTCTAGTGGGGGGGGGTGTAAATTCGGGGGTGTAGCCGTGGGTCCCAGCCTTTTATGTTGACTTTTCTTCATTTTTCTTCTCTTTTCTAGAGTGGGTCCCTTCTGCAAGAGATGTAAAAATAGATGTAAATGTACATTTTATTTTACATCCCTATGGTGGTGATGTATATTTACCTCCATTTACATCTTCCCATTGGAGACGATTCCGGTGACTCGGGGTGTATATTTAACATACACCCCCCACTGTAGATGTTCTTATAGTTTAAATTTACCCATTTCGCTTAAGTACTGATTTCACTTTTAATTTAGACTATAACTTGTACTTAAAAAAAAATAATTGTACCAATGTTATGGCTCAATATAGTTCCCAAGAGCAGGGAAGAAATTTTATTTTCTGGAAAAAAACATGTAAAAGAAATTTAAGCCCTAAATATTTGAAACATTGACGAAATTTAAAGTAAATCTTTATACGCTACCTTTTTTGTTTTTTTTGTTTTTGTTTTGTTTTTCGGTTTTTTGTAGAATAAGTTTAGAGCACTAAGTATTTGAAACATTGACCAACATTTGAAGTACTAATTTATACAATACTTTTATATTACTTTGGTACTTATAGCTCAATTCAGTTCCCAAAGAGCCGGGAAGATTTTTTATTTTGTATTTTTTAGTATAAGCGATTAGGGAGGGGTTTTACACAAATATTCATTGGGTGCATGGAAGTTTCGAATCTCTGCTCACATGGGTTTCACCTAGCTCAACCAATTGAGCTATATCCCACTGACAAGCATGGAAGAAATTGGGTGCTTGAAAAAAAAAAAAAAAAAAAAAAAAAAAAAAAAAGTGAATTAAACAATAATTTGAAGTCCACAAAAAAGAAAAAAGAAAAAGAATGAAACAACAACAAAGAGCAAAATACATAGTTGGTAAACTATATCATGGTTCAATACTACAAGTTCTGAATCGAATGTCAAACTAATGTTACAGATAGTGTGACTAGCTGGCCTTTTCAAAGGTTTCTTCTTAAAGGAAGTTGAGGTTCCACTCCAAAATTAATTGGCAATGCGGGGAGTAGCCCAACACTTTATACGTCCTTATTAGGTTTCTTAACTTTCTAATGTGAGACATTGTCACCTTCACATGCAGACATTTGAAGGAAGATTGACATCTAGCTCAAGGGTCTCGAGCCAAATTTTAGTGGAACAAGTTGTACCAGTTTTTTTTATTTATTTTATTTTGGCTTTGAAATTCGGTAGTTCGAGACGTGAACTTAAATTTTGGCTCCATTGCCACACATATTCAACAGGGGCCAATTTTGCCAAATTTCATCTTTTTGTGATTAATTTAACAACCATAATTAAATTAATGATGAACGCATTAACTGGTTAAAATTCTACGATATCTTCATGAAAGTCAGTCAAACACGTATTGACAGTACGGATTCTATCTATCTATCTTGATTCTCTCAACCCTGTCTTGACATTGTTTAGACCTGATGCTCAAATCTCAATGCTCATAATTCATTAAATTTATATATGCAGGGCGACATTAGCTTCTTTCATTAGTCTGCAACTGCAATGCATATGTTAAGATTTAAGCAAATTAATATTTCATTAGATTAAAGAATAAATCGGTTTGTTGTCTTCATCAATCATATCTTGTTGCAGGGATCTCAAAAGAGACAAAGAATATAAAACGAACATTAACTAAATGGTTACTTTCTATTTAAAATCACACCGGAATTAGTATTATTTGGTTAAATTATATTAGATGGTTGAATGGTCTCTAAGATGATCCTCAAAAGAAGACCTAATTAATTAACAGATGAATGATTTTTATTATTGGGTCGTGTCGAGGTTTAGGTACACATACACTACAGATTACAATACGGAATGGACCTCATAATTTGAACAGTTTGAATCACCATATTGGAAACGGAGATATATAGCTTATTGTAAACAACAAGGGGAGGGTACAAATTTAAAGCAGCATAAACATGAGTTACATGATTACTTAGAAACAACACGCGTAGGTTCTCTCCGATCCAGCAGAACTGCGAGAACCTTTATTTTTGAGCTTCCAAACAGAAAACTACTCAATCCACAAGCATAGAACGAGGCAGCAGCAAAACCTCTTTATTTCCTGCATGCATGCATGCCTAGCCAAAACATAAACTTGCTTGGTTGACCTAATTATTAATGTTTTTTACAAAAGTAGCAGAAGCATGCAAACCCTTTAAAGACCTTCACACCGAGAACTTTGCCATAAGTTGCATGGCAGGCACCGTGCTTTGCACGTTCCCATGTCTTGCATTGTTTGTCACAGTTCTTGGATTGGGCACAAACCCCTGACCATGTCTTGCTACGCTTCGACTCCAGCGGGCATATTACTCCCTCTGCCGTTGGCACCGCTGTTTATCGCACAAATTCAACAAAATATTCAATATCGCAGATACTACAAATAAAATTTATAAGATGATAATTATAAAAATAATATTAAAAAAATATATATGATTACGAAGTTGGAAAATGCAACTTTTTTATGCCCGACATGAATAAATTCATGAGTCCGCTACTGATACAGATTAGGGTTTAGCTATGCTCACCCAAGGAAACAATGAGAAGGAAAGCAATTAGGATTGCAACTGTAGGACGGATTCCAGCAACAGACTTCGCCATCTTTGAACTCTTTAGTTGGTTCTTTTTCTTGATGATACAAGTGAGGACCAACCCCAATTTATAGGCAGAATATGTTGTCCCTTCTCTCTCTCTCTCTCTCGTTTGTTTATTTTATTTTTGTTCTAAATGAAAATCCGATCAGTAAATTAGGCGTTGTTCACAACTTGATCAATCTGTACATGACACGTAGAAGTATATATGAATGAGAAATGTTTATTAAAATGTTTACTTTCTTGTAAGTTCTGCATGTGCTTATGAAATATTAATAATTTTATGAACCTCATGGATCTGATCTCTACGGTCTAACTTGTAGGCACGTCTTTCGGCAAAATTCTGGGAACAGTGAATTATAGCTGCTTTAAGTTTAAGCAAAGTCAAACCTAAGACGGCAAGAGCCCCTTGTAATAAAAAGTCCGTTTCCTCAATCGAGGGAAAGAAGCCCCAGCATCAAAAGTGAAGTCAAATCCCTTTCTAAACTGAATCCCTGTAATTAGGAAACTTAATTAAAATTGACCTCAACACAATTACAACATATATTAATTTATCTATGTTGGTGTAAGTGGCTCGATACAAGCCATGATGTGTAAGTCTCACATTAGTGAATACAACAATAATCTACAGTTCAAATAGAAATGTTCTATTTCTAATTGCACCGAGGTCTTTTGTGATAAAACCTCATATCTAGAGATCTATTCGGTCTAATTCAACCCAAGGATTAGATCTAGTGGTTAGTGTATGGACAATATCAGTGCATGATTTAGATATGTAGTGGACTACCATTGAGCCGTTGGGAAAACAATCTCAACTTCTTTTTAATATGTTCTCTTGGCATACTCGACGCCTAGGAAATTTGCCTTATATGTTTTTTATGAAACAACTTTCACCCGAACGAGTTGAATCCAGCATCTCGCCAATAGACTTTAGTAATTAAAGTTCCAATAGTTACGGATGTTGTTTAGTGGTTATTAACCCCTTATTAGACACGAATATCATCTCGACATTTATCTGCCTTATAATGGGAACACCTATGTGTGTAATACGTGTGCCCAATTTGAGTGTGATAGCCAACAGACATCCGTAATTGTTTAGGCTCGCTTTTAATAGTAAACGTGGAAACTTGCTTTACTTTAGTTTCACCAGGTCTGATTCTGTTGACGTCCAAAATGGAGTTCAACTTTGATAAATGTGAAGTGGTGTATGTGCCTTCAAGAGGTAAGAAAAGAAACTACCTTTGATAGGTTATTGCTTTCGGCAATCAATGATGTTCAACATAAGTAAAGTAAATAAGTATGCAAAAAACAAGGTACGTATATGTGGTTCATGACCCGAATGATGGGCTACGTCCACGGAGAAGGCAACTACTATCTGCACAAATCAGCAAAAGAGGCGTATACATCTTATTTATTATCATATAATTCACACTCCATGAAGGACATCTTTAATGTTCACCGCCTTGATCTGCAGGTACTCATCCTTGTTTGGTTTTCACAACAGCTTGTGACTATTTGTTTTTGTTCAGTGTATATCCTTGTCTGTGTTTTATAGCATAGAACACCAAACTGTATTTTAGATCACTTGGTACATTTACTTAGTATAAAAACACTCGATACATGCGTTTCACCTATCAATTGAAAGTACAAGTTCAGGTCCAACCCTTATGGTAGGCAAAAAGGTGGAGATGACAATCGACAATTTGTAAGGCATTAGAGGAGCCTTCGTTTGTGCAGTAAATTATGCTTTTTTTCTGTTTTTCTTGCAACAGTATCTTATGTATTCATTTACTGCCGAAGTTTTGTAGCTGAAATTGAGACTGTAAAACGCAATTTTGTCTTTGTCGCGCAAATAGTAAAATGTAGTAGTGTGGTCTTTTCCTTCTTGAGTATGCATCCATATCTAGAATCACATCTTCATCTAGATTTAGATAAGATACTTGCATTAGTTTCTTGAAGGGAGTGAGCTTCACTTTGCAGAATCTACTGGGCGGGTTTCTGGGTGAACATGTCTGTGTGTTGATTTTGTGACTGTGACTAATCATCTGTTGTTATTATTCCTATTTCTGATTTAATGGATGCTCACACACATACCACCATAGTTGTTGCTAGCACAGGGGATGCCTAGATTAACGGGTCTTTCTGAGTGCTTAGGTTGTCACCTAGTTTCTTCTAAGTCTGCAGGGGTTTTGATTATTGTTGTTGTATGTGTGTGGTTTGTGAATTGTAATCTCAGGTCTTTGACTAGTAATACATTGTTCGGGGACACTGATTCCACTCTATCTTTTAACACTTTGGTTATAGTTTAAATTTACCAATTTCGCTTAAGTACCGATTTCACTTTTAATTTAGACTATAACTTGTACTTCAAAAAAATAATTGTACCAATGTTATGGCTCAATATAGTTCCCAAAAGCAGGGAGGAAATTTTATTTTCTGGAAAAAATCATGTAAAAGAAATTTAAGCCCTAAATATTTGAAACATTGACGAAATTTAAAGTAAATCTTTATACGCTACCTTTTTTTGTTTTTTTGTTTTTGTTTTGTTTTTCGGTTTTTTGTAGAATAAGTTTAGAGCACTAAGTATTTGAAACATTGACCAACATTGGAAGTACTAATTTATACACTACTTTTATATTACTTTGGTACTTATAGCTCAATTCAGTTCCCAAAGAGCCGGGAAGACTTTTTATTTTTTATTTTTGAGTATAAGCGATTAGGGAGGGGGTTTTACACAAATATTCATTGGGTGCATGAGAGTTTCGAATCTCTGTTCACATGGGTTTCACCTAGCTCAACCAACTGACCTATATCCCACTGACAAGCATGGAAGAAACTGGGTTTGCTTGAAAAAAAAAAGGTGCAATAGTGAATTAAACAATAATTTGAAGTCCACAAAAAAGAAAAAAGAAAAAGAATGAAACAACAACAAAGAGCAAAATACATAGTTGGTAAACTATATCATGGTTCAATACTACAAGTTCTGAATCGAATGTCAAACTAATGTTACAGATAGTGTGACTAGCTGGCCTTTTCAAAGGTTTCTTCTTAAAGGAAGTTGAGGTTCCACTCCAAAATTAATTGGCAATGCGGGGAGTAGCCCAACACTTTATACGTCCTTATTAGGTTTCTTAACTTTCTAATGTGAGACATTGTCACCTTCACATGCAGACATTTGAAGGAAGATTGACATCTAGCTCAAGGGTCTCGAGCCAAATTTTAGTGGAACAAGTTGTACCAGTTTTTTTTATTTATTTTATTTTGGCTTTGAAATTCGGTAGTTCGAGACGTGAACTTAAATTTTGGCTCCATTGCCACACATATTCAACAGGGGCCAATTTTGCCAAATTTCATCTTTTTGTGATTAATTTAACAACCATAATTAAATTAATGATGAACGCATTAACTGGTTAAAATTCTACGATATCTTCATGAAAGTCAGTCAAACACGTATTGACAGTACGGATTCTATCTATCTATCTTGATTCTCTCAACCCTGTCTTGACATTGTTTAGACCTGATGCTCAAATCTCAATGCTCATAATTCATTAAATTTATATATGCAGGGCGACATTAGCTTCTTTCATTAGTCTGCAACTGCAATGCATATGTTAAGATTTAAGCAAATTAATATTTCATTAGATTAAAGAATAAATCGGTTTGTTGTCTTCATCAATCATATCTTGTTGCAGGGATCTCAAAAGAGACAAAGAATATAAAACGAACATTAACTAAATGGTTACTTTCTATTTAAAATCACACCGGAATTAGTATTATTTGGTTAAATTATATTAGATGGTTGAATGGTCTCTAAGATGATCCTCAAAAGAAGACCTAATTAATTAACAGATGAATGATTTTTATTATTGGGTCGTGTCGAGGTTTAGGTACACATACACTACAGATTACAATACGGAATGGACCTCATAATTTGAACAGTTTGAATCACCATATTGGAAACGGAGATATATAGCTTATTGTAAACAACAAGGGGAGGGTACAAATTTAAAGCAGCATAAACATGAGTTACATGATTACTTAGAAACAACACGCGTAGGTTCTCTCCGATCCAGCAGAACTGCGAGAACCTTTATTTTTGAGCTTCCAAACAGAAAACTACTCAATCCACAAGCATAGAACGAGGCAGCAGCAAAACCTCTTTATTTCCTGCATGCATGCATGCCTAGCCAAAACATAAACTTGCTTGGTTGACCTAATTATTAATGTTTTTTACAAAAGTAGCAGAAGCATGCAAACCCTTTAAAGACCTTCACACCGAGAACTTTGCCATAAGTTGCATGGCAGGCACCGTGCTTTGCACGTTCCCATGTCTTGCATTGTTTGTCACAGTTCTTGGATTGGACACAAACCCCTGACCATGTCTTGCTACGCTTCGACTCCAGCGGGCATATTACTCCCTCTGCCGTTGGCACCACTGTTTATCGCACAAATTCAACAAAATATTCAATATCGCATATATTACAAATAAAATTTATAAAAAATATATATATATGATTACGAAGTTGGAAAATGCAACTTTTTTATGCCCTACATGAATAAATTCATGAGTCCACTACTGATACAGATTAGGGTTTAGCTATGCTCACCCAAGGAAACAATGAGAAGGAAAGCAATTAGGATTGCAACTGTAGGACGGATTCCAGCAACAGACTTCGCCATCTTTGAACTCTTTAGTTGGTTCTTTTTCTTGATGATACAAGTGAGGATCAACCCCAATTTATAGGCAGAATATGTTGTCCCTTCTCTCTCTCTCTCTCTCTCTCTCTCTCTCTCTCTCTCTCGTTTGTTTATTTTATTTTTGTTCTAAATGATAATCCGATCAGTAAATTTGGCGTTGTTCATAACTTGATCAATCTGTGCATGACACGTAGAAGTAAATATGAATGAGAAATGTTTATTAAAATGTTTACTTTCTTGTAAATTCTGCATGTGCTTATGAAATATTAATAATTCTATGAACCTCATGGATCTGATCTCTACAGTCTAACTTGTAGGCACGTCTTTCGGCCAAATTCTGGGAACTGTGAATTATAGCTGCTTTAAGTTTAAGCAAAGTCAAACCTAAGACGGCAAGAGCCCCTTGTAATAAAAAGTCCGTTTCCACAATCGAGGGAAAGAAGCCCCAGCATCAAAAGTGAAGTCAAATCCCTTTCTAAACTGAATCCCTTTAATTAGGAAACTTAATTAAGGTTGACTTCAACACAATTACAACATATATTAATTTATCTATGTTGGTGTAAGTGGCTCGATACAAGCCATGATGTGTAAGTCTCACATTAGTAAATACAACAATAATCTACAGTTCAAATAGAAATGTTCTATTTCTAATTGCACCGAGGTCTTTTGTGATAAAACCTCATATCTAGAGATCTATTCGGTCTAATTCAACCCAAGGATTAGATCTAGTGGTTAGTGTATGGACAATATCAGTGCATGATTTAGATATGTAGTGGACTACCATTGAGCCGTTGGGGAAAACAATCTCAACTTCTTTTTAATATGTTCTCTTGGCATACTCGACGCCTAGGAAATTTGCCTTATATGTTTTTTATGAAACAACTTTCACCCGAACGAGTTGAATCCAGCATCTCGCCAATAGACTTTAGTAATTAAAGTTCCAATAGTTACGGATGTTGTTTAGTGGTTATTAACCCCTTATTAGACACGAATATCATCTCGACATTTATCTGCCTTATAATGGGAACACCTATGTGTGTAATACGTGTGCCCAATTTGAGTGTGATAGCCAACAGACATCCGTAATTGTTTAGGCTCGCTTTTAATAGTAAACGTGGAAACTTGCTTTACTTTAGTTTCACCAGGTCTGATTCTGTTGACGTCCAAAATGGAGTTCAACTTTGATAAATGTGAAGTGGTGTATGTGCCTTCAAAAGGTAAGGCAAGAAACTAACTTCGATAGGTTATTGCTTTCGACAGTCAATGATATTCAGCATAAATAAAGTAAATAAGTATGGAGAAAACAAGGTATGTATTCGTGGTTCATGACCCGAATGATAGGCTATGTCCATGGAGAAGGATGTTCTCATTATAATAATGTTTGTTTACATTTATACAATGGGATTAGACCCAAATATAAAGGGAATAAGGAAAAGGCCAAAGGCCTAAGGTTCAAAACCCAAGAGTCTGAGCTCCAAGGGTCAAGACCCTTTTCTCAATGAAGAATGGTCTTATTTTCTAGGTGAATGGGAGTCTCCACATCTTGTAGTCCTCCACTCTTGATATTGCCCCTAGTTGTGACTTTTGGCAAGACTTCTTAAACTAAGGTGATGACCTCTCAAAGCACGGTATGTGGCTGATTTTGCTTAGCTAATTGCTCGGTTAGTCGTGATATCAACAATGTGTTTATCATAAAACAAGAGATATATGAATGTTGATCCTCTGAACAATCTTAAAACCGCCATTTTAGAGATCTGTATCTCTATTTTAAAACCCCAAGTCTTTCTAATAAATGTTTCTGGTAATCGTTGACCCTAAAATTACGCATTTTATTGTAACTTAGACAAAGCGTATAGAGATGTGAACCTTCTTAACCTGACACCTGTGAGGCATTCTCATTTTCATCTTCATGGCATTGACGAGTCTCGAAACATAATTTTAAAGCTTCTTTCATTATAATGATTGGAATAATGAGATAAGATTGGTTGCTAAAAACAGAAGCACATGGCGTTGTAGTGCTGGCCTATAATTTCTACTCTTTTTTAATAAGATTAAAATATTTTGACGATTGACCAAGATTTGATATTAGATTTTTTTTTTTTTTTTTTTTTTTTTTTTTTTCAATGTTCAAAGGAAGGAAAGAGAGGTATTTCTCATACACAGCCAAAATACCATAGAAGTTTGAAGGATTTTAAAACTCAATTTTAAGAAAAAATCAAATTTTTTGAATTTCCCACTAGGAGGCGAAACCACAACCAAGGCTGTTTCGAAGAAAAACTAATAATAGACCCCAAGTTGGTGCCTTTTGGTTTTTTCCTTTGCAAAATCTGCTGCCTTTGGTTTTGTTTTTTCTCAAAGTCTGCTGTCTTTTTTTTTATCTACTGCCTTTTTGTCGTGAAAGTATCTGCTACCTTCGGCAAAAGATTTTTTAAGAAGAAAAAAACCCTGGCCCATCATCAACTATAACATTGGGGAAATATTATCTCAAGTTTATTTGTATTGTCTTTCAACAACAGAACAATACATTAACCAAATTATATTGTTCTTGTGTTTACAACTTATATATTGATGTAAAACTTAATTATTTGCATTTTTTTACTTTGCATTTTAGAAGCTTATTCGGCTGATGCCAAGAAATTGTAACATATTCAAACGACAAAGGTAAGATTTAAAATATATATATATCATTTGATTTTAAGCTAAAAATTTTAGCTAGCCCACCCATCGAAAAATTCCTGGTTCCGCCCTTGCGCAGAGATGGTCCCTAGAAGGGACTAACCTGGGCTATAGCCCAGGTGACTTGTTATTTTATTAGCCTAAAATTTAATTTAGCCCACCCATGCCTACTAATGACGATCATGCCACGCTCACATTCAAAGACTCATAGACTCATCGCTCATTCAACAATACACTCAAGGAAAAAAAGATGAGACAAACTAATGAATTAAATTCTCTTTGACTATTCCAGGACATTCTTGTGTAGAACATCTCTGTAAAGTTTCTCTCTAAAATGAAAAGTACTTCCATCTTGTTATTACTTTTTTAGCCTATTGCCAACTTTTTATTTATTTATATTTATATTTAGTTTTATGAAGAGTCTATTGCTAATTTTCCTTTCACTAATAACCATCTTCACACATAATCCCTTTAAGTGAAAAATAAATTAAATTAAATAAACAAAAGGACGAATTGGTATGCTGTAGCAGCTGCATCTTTATGTTCCACTTTCCGGTGCGTATATAAGTTAAATTTAACTCACCTCATTTTAAAATCCTACGTCCGTACTTGTGGAGAAGGTCACATTAGAGAATACAAACTGAGTATATATGTGTAAAGGTGGGCAATCGAACTAAAATATATTTGGAGGTCGGAAACCGCATGATGAACCGTCAGTTTGCCATTTCTTAGGACCAACGTCGAGCAGACACTCAGTTCAACCGCAGGATCGGTTAGTTGAAAATTTTGCTAGATTGTCGGTTCACGGCGGCTTAGCGGAAAGAGTGAAAGAGAAAAGAGAGAGACAATGAAGTTGTTGACTAGAGAAAGGGAAAAAAAAAAAAAAAAAAGGGGGGGGGGTGTTCTTGTATCTAGGTCCATAATGATTAGCTGTCATGTGGTTAAGTCAACACATTGTTGGTTTTAGATGTAGGTCCTTTGACTTCTTTGACTTCTTTTGTTGTGTCGATTTTACTCTTTGAGGTAAATAAGAAAAACACATTGAAAATCCAAATTTAATGCATTATTTCCTTGTAATTGAATTTCAGAATTTAAATTTTGAATTCTTTCCTTGATGTTATGTACTTATGCAATAGGTAAACACCCAGTATTAAACATATTGAAAACATAATATGTTTAATACTTATCAATTTGATTGGCGGTGTTCATGCATAACAACAAATAAAAAATTGAGCAAAAACAATAAAACAAGAGAACTATTAATTGATGATGGTTTCTCAAATAATATGTACCTGATATATAGGTAGTATGAGCTAAATATATAGGTAGAACTTTCTAACGTACCTGATTACTAGGTAAATATGAGATAATGTACATGATTACTAAGTAAATACATACATAATTACTAGGTAAATATGAGATATATGTACCTAACATATAGGTAATATTCTTTAGTGCACCTAATAAACATGTGGTATGAGATAATGTGTGGATCTCATTAATACAACTGATTCTTGATAAGTTTATTATGTTGTAATTTCATTTTGCTAGGGCTACGATGGTAGTCTAACCATGAATACCTTATTTCGGAATAAGCTGAATTCCGTAAGTATGGAGAATGTTGAATCAGACGAGTGGTTTGGATGGTTCAGATTTCAATTTAATCATATGTATACATGCATGCTTGTGCATGGTTACTTTTTGAATATTTTTCATTAAAAGAACCATTAGTAAACAGGAGTATCTGAATTGTAAAGAGTCACAGGATTATTTTTGAAGCACAAGTGTTCTTCTAGCCTGTACAGAGCCAGAAAAGCCTTTATTTCCAGTTTCAGACCGAAGAGTACTCGATCCACAAGCATATATAGAGCGAGCCAGCAAAAGCTGTTTATTTATCAATTTGTTTTCCTGGCCAAACACAGATAGACATGCTTGACCTAATGCTTTTTACAAAAGTAGCAGAAGCATGCAATCCCTGAAGGGACCTTCACGTACACCTAAAACATGGCGCCAAGTTGCGTTGCAAGCACCGTGCTTTGCCCGTTCCCATGTCCTGCATTGGTTGTCACAGCTCTTGGATTTGGCACAAACGCCGAACCATGTCTTGCTTCGCTTCGCTTCCAGGGGGCATATCGCTTCTGCTGTTGGCACTACTGTTGTAGCACAAATTCAAAAAAAAAGTCAATATCGTACATATTACTGTTAACTGTAAAATTACCCATAGAATTAATCTCCGTTACATATCATACGGCTATACAGATTATAGAATAATTATAAAATGTATAATTGAGTTGAAAAAAGTTAGATTCTAGGTAATAGCTCACCCAAGGAAATGATGAGAAGGAAAGCTGCGTATTCCTTCATACGGCTCTCTCTCTTTTATTCCTTCATTTGTTTAATTTGTATATATTTTTGTAACTTTTTTTATAAACATCTGATGCTGCGTAAAAAGAGAGCTACATGCAAGCAGTGGCTATGACACGAGGAACCCGAGGTGTTTTAGTATTTTATATTTTTTATGTTTTTGTTAGCAATTTCTAGATTGATCTTATATGGCTTGCATCTCTATAAACATGGATGCAATGAACAGTCTAATTTGTAGGCAAGTCTTGCGGCAAAACTTTCGGAACAGCGAAATACAAACTTATAAGAAATACAAATCATATCTATCTTGGAGCTCGAGTATTTGTTATTAGGGATATTCACTATTATACCCAATATAGGAGCCCAAATTATAAAATAAATAAAATAATAAAAAAATAAAAAAACCCTATATAAAATGGACTTTAAAAACACATCCAAAGCCCATTTACAACATAACAAAAGGCTTTTAACTTCTTTTAAATTACAAAACTATCATTGATTTCTTAAAACAAACTTAACCCCAAAACCTCATAAAAAAGCTCAAAACACTCAATAGAGCATCAAAGTAATTTAATAATCAAAATTAAATTTAATAGGGCCAGCTTTCATTTTTGGGGTTTCTTTATAGAAATTAAATGGTGTAGGGTTTATTTATAGTTTTAGTGCTAAGAATGGGTATATGACTAAATATCTCTTGTTGTTACTAAAATTAACGTTAGGTCAGATTAAATAAAAGCTCGAGTATATATGTGTGTATGTATATTATAATATATAATATATAGATGGGTATGTTATAATAATAATAATATACATGTAATAATAATATAATATATATATGTGTGTATATACGTGTATATATGTACTTTATAGTATATGTGTATGTAAGTATAATATAATATAATATATATGGGTATATAATAATAATAATAATATATGCATCTTATACATTGGTGAGTATGGGACTAGTTAATCCTCTCTTTCCACATAGATTTAGTAGTCCTCTTCTACAGAGGTGTTTTTGGTGGGCCCAGTATTTGTATAAACCATGGCATACTTGAGAAATTTGCCAATCACGAGCATCCTCTATTTTGTATTTTTTTTTCAAGTAATTCCCAAACTTCCTTTGCAAAATTGTATGATGAATAAATGTCATACAGAGAATCATAAGCCTATTAAGTAGTCTCTGCACAGGAAATCAGATTGTTTCCAAGCCTCAATGGTCATCATTGTCTCCTTAGACATTGGATTTTCGTCCATTTTGGGAGCTGCCTCTCTGACAACATGTGCCTGATTCAGGGTTGTGAGATAGAACAACATCTTATGTTGCCATCTCTTGAAGTCAATTCCCATGAACTTCTCAGGATTCTCGTAATGGGGATTCTTAGTCACCCGCATCCACAGTCGCTGATGATTGTGAATCCATCAAATTTACTATCTTTAGATTGTTGGAAAAAAAAAATACAAAACAACAACAACAACAATCAATGACTAATAACAATATATAAATACCCACGAAATTGAATTTATAACAAACTGTAATTTGAAATACAATAAACAATAAGATAAATGAAACTGACTTGGATTCGAGACAGAGACTTGCAGATTTGATGCAATGTCCTAAAGACATTCATTTCACCTCTTCTCGGTGTTTGAAGTTCTAAAGATGACTGCCTCCCAGGATTCAACTACCTATATTCTAAGCCCCCCTAGGATTTAGAATCTAGCGAAGTTTGTTTGTTTTCCTCTCAGAAAATATGAATGTGCTTATAGAATGCTTTTTCTACGTTGAGCGAATGAGACCTCTTCTAATTTAAATAGACTTCTGAAACCCTATCAGAAGAGACACAACTGTTAAAAACAGTTAATTAAACTAATCTGAATTGTTAAAAACAGTTAATTAAACTAATTCGAATTAATAAAAAAATAATAATTTGAAACTAAAAAGCTAATTTAAATATGAAGTTCCCAAGTGCCCCAACGGTTAGGCCCATCTTTTTGATAATTAAATATTATATATTATCTATATAATATTTAATGCACAAATAGAATTTAAAGCCCAATTGGCTTCTACTTAGTCCAACTTCTATTTACTAAGTGTGGGGCTACCACACTTTTTCTTCTTTCTATCAATGTAGGACAAAAGTCCTTGAATTTCATTCAAACTTCCAACAGTAGTGAACTAGTCACTCAGTGAATTATATATCCAATTTTACACTGCATGAATTACAAGTCAAAGGAGTAACCATCAATAGAAACTAGTTATATCTTCCTCTTATACATCCAAAGGTTGATTCTCCTCTGAGCCACCTTTATTGGCACCTGCATTAGGCCCGCTTTGCCCATCCTAGTCTGGCATGTTGCTGAGTCGGCTGGTCTTGCGCTTGGGTGTCTAAAGCCCGGCCTGTTTGAGCCCAAGAAAGCCCAGCTCGGCCATAAAAGCTCAATCCGCGAGCCCACATACATATAAAGAAATCTAAAAATATAAAAAACCCAAGTTAAATGAAAGATGGAGAAAATCATTATCTATTATCATTGTGAGAACAAAAAAATGAAGTAGGGGATAAAACATGATTTTGTTAATATGGCGGTTGTATAATTATATCTTCATATTTATGGAGAAAAAAACTGTGAAGTTATGAACAAAGAAAACTATGGAAGTTATAAGCATATAGACAAATGTAAAAAAAGAACTATGAAAAAAATGGAAACATAGAAACACAACAAAACATAGAAAAAAAATAAAAAATTGACCAAAAAAAAATCCATATAAAGAAAAAGGTAAAATCAAGTAGGCTCATTTTGGCCCTCCCTTGCCCAATGGGCTTTCTTAGGCTCAACCCATGGGCCAGACCTGGGCTTTGAATTTTCTGAAAAAGCCCAGTCTAGCCTAGCTCGTTATTTTCTCTCTCCTCCTCAAAGCCCAATTCAACTAGACCCGAGCCCATTAAATTTGAGTTGGGCTAGCCCAGCCCAGCCCATTGATGAGGCCTACCTGCATTGATGTTCTTGTGGTGTAGATACTTGGTCCTGTAGCCCTTAACCTTTTTCACACACCAAATTGCCACTCAAATAACATGGAAGGCAAAGATCACTAGAATCATACCAAACCAGATCTTCAACCATGTGGGGATGGAATAAAGAACTACATTCCGAATCCCTTCGGGTATTACCAATAAAATCAATAGCATAAACATGATTGACACCAATATGAGACTAGCACATATACGCATTAATAAGATGAACATGAATATACGATGTTTTGTAGGGAATCCACTACAAATAAGAAGATTAACTATCTGACAAGTGCAAAAACACATGTTGTTAAACATGTCAAAGTAGGAGTATGTATAGCTTGACCAATGCAAATTGCCAAGCAATGTGGTTCCAGCAAGGCACGATCTTTCTATAGAGTCTCCATCATCAGTATTTGTTGTAGTTTGTTACTGAAGACCTCCTGGTGGGTGAAGAAAATTTTGAAAACAGAAGATGGCTAGCATGGCTGAGAGAAGTAGCAACATGCTGTGACCTTCCTCCACCCAATACTTGTGTTCGAAGAATTCTGTCAATTTGCTAAAAAATATGCTTGCAAAACTTACATTTCCTTCTATGTTGCCAACCACTGGCAGACTTATTAGGACACAAGGAGATGCAATTGCACCTCCCCTCACCAAAAAAGTCTCTACTAAGGTTGCGGGGCGTGCTCTAAGTGTTCGACGAATTGCCTCAACCAAGGCTTGCATGTGATGGGTTGTTGTTGTTGCTGCGCATAGCTAGTCATTTTCTTTTTTTTTCAAAAACACCCTGGCCAAAACGACGTCGTTTTGGACCAGGGTAAATAAAATAATTTAAATTAAATAAACAAAAAAAAAAAAAAAAAAAAAAAAAAAAAAAAAAAGAAATTGGACTGCGCTGCTCACGTGATGTTTCTTGACTTCATTTTGAACTGGACCACTCACGTGAAGTCAAGAAAGAAGCTAATCAACAACAACAACAAAAGGGCTTTTAAACAAGCTTTCTTTTTCTTCTTTTTAAACAAGAATTAAAAAATAAAAGGAAACTTTTGCATTGTACAACTCCTTATTTACATGGGATTGGGAGGAGTTTTCTTTATAAAGGATTAATACCATCACATCACGCAAATTTATCAAATAAGTCTGATGCTCCATTCCAAAGAATTATATAATAAGCCAATCCAAGAATTCTACGTTTTTCCTTTTCAAACTCGAGGAGGAAGAGGCTGCGCGATACACAAGAAGGGTTTTATCAGCCTCGTAGAAGGAATACAACAACGCACGTTTTGGATCAATTTGGCTTAAAGCAATGACAATTGTTTTGGGTTGGGTTGGCTCCACATTGGTTATGGCTAGAGGTGTCAAACGGGACGGGCCGGCCCAGCAAGGCCCGAGCCCAACTCGCTTAAATGAGGCACAGCTTGGCCCGAGCCCACTTCAAGCAAGGCCCGAGCCCAAGCTCGCTTCAAGCCCGGCCCACTTAACTTTTTTGTTTTCCTCAAAAGTCAAAATGCAATAATTTGACATTTAATGTAATCTTTTATATATATTTTTAAATCATAAACATATATTTGATGTCTTGCATTTTAGGAAAATTACTTGGGTCCTTAATTAATTAAACATATCAATTACAAATTAATTAAACAACATTGGACTTGATATCTAATCAGTAAATATGATACATACGCTTCTCTTATAATCAAAGCAAGACATTTCTTCGCATATAAAATAATAAATTGTATAAAGATGAAATGTTGAAGTGGACTTGTGGAGTTGGACACTTTTTGCACTCCGCCCTTTCATATTGTTTGGATGTTTGATTGATTAATGTTTTCAAATAATTTATCATTTCTTGCCACTATATTTTTAATGTTTATAATTTGAATTATCTAGTGGGAAAAAAATTAAGTGAAAAAAATTCAAATTAAATGGGTTGGTTCTTAGGCCCGAGTATAGCATGAGCACGAGCACAAGCCCAGCCTGGCCTGTTTTAATGTGGACATGGGCTTTGGGTCGGGCTGGGATCAATGATTTTACTAAATGGATTGGCTCAGCTTGGCACGAAAACGTTAAAAGCACGAGTTTAAATGGGATGGGTTGGTCCAACCCTACCTATTTGACAGCTTTACTCAGGGCTCTTCGATCAGGTCAAGGTTCAAAGCAATTTGGGCTTCGTTAGCTTGGGGGCAAAGTTCGCCGTTCGGTAGGAGGCCTTGCCAATTTGGACTGGCACAACGGCTTCTGAACCGAATGCGAGCTAGAAGGGATTTTTCCCTGTGGATGTTCGAAATGATGTCCGTATAGCCCGCAATGTTTCTGGAAGCTTCTCCGACCATGCATCTTTGGCATTATTTGATGTACAATTTTACTACCTGAAAATTAGATAGTTAAATTCAAGAAATAAACTTGCAAGCGCACAAGGTTAATGCAATATGGCCAAGGCAAGTACAAAGTCGTTCCCACATAGACTGAATAAATTCTCAAGTTGTTGTGAATTATAAACTAATTTAAATCCTAAATTACTCTAGACACCCTAATTAATAAACTTAAAACTAATGACTCAACTAAAACTTGATAGAGGAGTTTTCAAAGTTGGTTTTGAAAGATTTTCTTTAAAAGAACGTTGAAAACAAGAAAATTAAAAGACAAGATAACAAAGAAAAATGTGAACTAAATAAGTTTGTGAAAGATTTTAAAGAAGCTTACCAAGACAACAATTTCACCACAATTCCTCTTATCCAAACCTTAGCATGCATACTATCAAAATTCCCAAGTTATTTTGATGATTAGTTCTCCAAAATTATGATTAAGTCTTTTCACAGCAATTAACCACTTCCTCTTACACGCAATTTATCCTTGGCGTGAGGCATAAATATAAACATATAAAAAGACCTTAAGTTAAATGAGAACTTCACACAATCACACAAACCCCTAAGAGTATGATGTTTACCATAGGCGCATTCATGAATTTAATCACAAGAAGCAAAACTCATATTAGGCATGGCGTGTACCCTAACATGCATCAAATTACTTAACCAAAAACCTAGATGGTAGCTAAGCATCAAGATCATTAGTTAAGAAAATAAGCACAGTGATTAAATTTCAACAACATGGAAATTCTAATAGCATGACATAACTAAGCTTTGAATAATTAGAAAAGGGTTACATTGTGTCTTAGTAAAAGAAAATTAGTTACTCATAATCATAGTAACAAAGAAAAAATAAAACATGGAGAAAGAGATAAGAAAAACCCTTAGAGTTTAGAGGCATGGTGGCTCTTTCTTGCTCCACAGTTGAAGTCTGAAATTTCTGGTGTCTCGCTTGAGCCCCCACGACCTCCCCTCTTAAAAGAACCTAAAACCTAGTTAGAATGGCCTAAACAAGTGGCCTTACATGAACACTTGATTTCCAAGTCAGTTCCTAACTAGAAAAGGTAATTAAAACTAAGTTTCCTAAAACCTCTAGGAAACTGCACGCGATCCTCATTGAGAATGTGATTTGGACACCTTTCTGACCTCCAAAAATTGCGTACATCCACTCTTTGGAAAGCTCTGGATGTCTTCTTTTCAGCCACATATCATGTGCCTCAATCCGATGTTGTATGAGTGAGTTATGGCCAAAATATCGTGTGCTTCAATCCGATGTCATATATCGTGTGACTCAGTATTCTCCGGGAATTGGTTTATGCTGAGTTGTCAAACTCTATTACAATGAATATTTGGCGAATTTATACATTTCGTGGTTCATAAGCTAAAAAACCAGGAAATAACTAAACTTAGCATCTTTAGTTCAAATTAATTCACAAAACTAAGTAAAAAGGATATAAAATCATGTGAAATTATGAACATATCATTATTCAACTGTCGTTTCATAACTTTCTTAATGATTTTGTTTATGGCTTCGAACTGACCGTTTTACTGAGGATGGGTTGGTGAGGCAAAGAATAGATTGATTTTGAGGTGATTGCAGAATTGTCTAAAAAGGTCCGAATCAAATTGCTTGACATTGTCAGTGATAATTGCGCATGGGATACCAAATCGATAGCATATATGGGTCCAAACAAAATCCTCTATCCTTGCTGCAGCGATGATCGCCGGGGCTTTGACTTCTACCCACTTGGTGAAATAGTCCACAGCTACCACTACGTACTTAACCTGCCCTTTTCCTTGGGGCATTGGACCGATCAGGTCAAGCCCCACTGTACAAAAGGCCATGGGCTTACAATGGGTGTTAAGGGTTCGGCAAGTGCATGGGGTATGTTGCCGAATCTATGGCATTTGTCGCATCTTTTAACCAAAGCAGTTGCATCTTAGTGCATGGTTGGCTAGAAATAACCCTGCCAAAAGGCCTTGTGGACCAGTGAACAGGAGCCTGAGTGATCGCCGCAGATGCCCCCATGGATGTCCCGAAGGACGTAGTCCCCCTATTCGGTAATAATACATTTGAGATAGAGGGTAGTGTAACAGCATTTGTAGAGGATGTCATTAATGACGGTGTACCTTGCCGATTGGTATCGTATCTTCCTTGCCTAGTCCCTGTCATTTGGTAGGATGTTGTTCATACGATAAGAGAATATGCGAGACATCCAAGTGTCTTCATAGCGTACGACACACACCTCGGGGCCTACCATGCTCGGTTAAGTCAGGATTTCGACAAGGACTTGCAGCTTGATTTTATGGTCAAAAGTCAACATGTTGACCGGAGTAATTGACCAAAGTCAAATAGTTCGACCGGGTCAATTAAGTAAAACTATAATTATAATTTAATAATTAAATTTTAATTAAATTATTAATTATGGAATTAATATTGACATATAGAAATGTTGGATTGGGCTTTTAAATATGATTTAAAAGGAAATGGACAAAATAATCCAAAAGGCTATTGGGCCCAAGGAATAAGTGGCATAAGATGACATGACTCATGGACCAAATGGAGCCCCAAATACCCACCCAATTGTCTTTTGTGTTATCCTATATAAGCTAAGTGTTAGAGAAAACCTAGCTATGGTTTTTGGTTTCCAACTTTGATTGATGAGTGATCATCTTTGTATCTCATCTTCCTTAAACCAAAAATTGGTCCAATCAAGAAGTAGACTAGCATTCATACTTCTTGATTGCCTTCTATTTGTCTCTAAGAGCATTTGGTGTGGTGAGGTAGAGGACTCCAATCTTGGAACCTTAAGATGAATGAGTCAAAATCAAGAGAAACAAAAGGTCTTTCCAACAAAGATGTTCATTCTTGAGAAATTAAGAAAAGGTAATCAAGGGTAAAGATCTATTTGCTTTTTCCTTTTCTATTTGTGTCTAAAAAGACTAGGCTAAAATACTTAGTTTAAAATGAAAAAGGTTTAGCTCAAATAGTATAAACAAAATGAATCCACCATTTAGAATGTTTTTGTTATATAGGTTATGGCTAAAGTTCATTTCCTAAGCATTAGATGCAAGTTTCCTTTGGATAGGTAGGCTGACATGGATGCATCTTTGGCGGCAAAGTCAGTCGTCACTTGATTCACAATGGGTTGGGAGTCACTGTGTATGCTGATCTGTCTGGCGCACATACCCTCAGCTAGCCGATGGCCGGCTAAGAGGGCTTCGTATTCAGCCTTGTTATTGGAGGTTTTGAAGTTGAAACAGAGGGCATATTCAATCTTGACCCCATCAAACGTGGTTAAGACAAGGTCGGCACTGTATCCTTGTTGATTGGCCTACCCATCAACGTGTAAGACCTAAATTGTGGTTGCAGGATCGAAGCACTTGCCGTTCGGCAGATTAGCCAATGTCATTGTCGTATCTGAGCTTTCTAGTGCTGCCGAATGTGTCAATTCGGATATGAAATCTTCAATGGCCTAGCCTTTTTCCTCTAGCCTGGGTTTAAACTGGACATCAAATTCTCCTAGCTTAATTGCCCATTTGACCAATCGGATGGATGTTTCAGGCTTCGGGAAGACATGCCGTAGTGGTTGATTGGTCAAGACAATGATGGTATGAGCTTGGAAGTAGGGGCAGAGCTTACGCATCGAGGTGATAAAAGCTAAGGCTAGCTGTTCAAAGGGAGGGTACTGAAATTCAACGTTCTACAATGCTCGGCTGACATAAAAGATTGATAGTTCCTCTTTTTCGGGCTTCCATATAAATATGGAGCTAACGACAGTGTTTGATACGAAGAGATAAAAGACTAGGACCTCTCCAGGAAAGGGTTTCAATAGCAAAGGTGCCTTGCTCATGTAGTCCTTTAGCTCTTGGAACGCCAGATCACATTCGGCCCTCCAGGTTATGTACTGCTTGCTTCCCTTCAAAGCTTTGAAGAACGATGCGTTTATCAGTAGCCTTTGAAATGAATCGTGTTAATGCCACAACTAGTCCCGTGAGGCTCTAAATGTCCTTCTGTGTCTACGTATTCTGCCATTCCATATCTATCAGAGCTTGGATTTTATCAGGGTTTGCTTCAATTCCTCACTAGCTAATCATGAAACCAAGGAACTTTCCTGAAGATACACCGAAGGTGCACTTCGTCAGCTGTAATCTCATTAGGTATTCTTTCAGGATGCTGAACATGAGGGATAAGTTGTGAAGGTGTTGATCGGCAATTTGGCTTTTTACTAACATGTCGTCAACGTAAACTTCCATGGTGCTGCCGATGTGCTCGGTAAAGATTTGGTTGACTAATCGCTAGTACGTTGCCCCTGCATTCTTCAAGCCTTTGTCTATTATGAAAATCTGGTTGTAGCATGCATAAGCATCCATGAAGTTGAGTAGCTCGTGACTAGCAGTGGCGTCAACAAGCTGATCGATTCGTGATAACTGGAAACTGTCCTTTGGGCACGCTTTGTTGAAATTGGTATAGTCTTGGCACATTTTCCATCCGTCTTTTGCCTTCCGAACCATTGTAGAGTTCGTCATCCACACTGGATAGGTAGCCTCTCAGATAAAGCCAATTGCGCGAAGCTTGTCAAGTTCGGCCTTCATGGCTTTATATTGTACGATGTCATACGATCATCGCTTCTATCTTATTGGCTTATAAGCAGGGGAAATGCTGAGTTTGTGACAGATGACTTTAGGGAAAATGCCAAGCATATAATCGTACGACCAAGCAAATATCTCGAAATTGTGGCACAAGAACTCGATGAACTCATATTGGAAGGCCACCGTTAGTGTGGTGCCAATTTTCACACATCGGTCGAGATGGCTCTCATGTAAGACAACTGTCTCCAAATCCTCAGTTGGCTAGGCTTGCGGCATTGACGTCTTATCCTTGGGATCATCCAACAGCTCGATGTCATTCCTAACACTTTCTACCGAGAGTGCTTCCTTATGGGGTTTGAGAGTTGCCGACTAGAGTGCCATTGCATAGCAAGTCCGGGCACAGAGCTGATCTCCCCTAATTACTCATGTTCCGTAGAAAATCGAAAATTTCATAAGCAACATGTATGGGGAGATATGCGCCTTGATTCTAGTGAGTGTCGTTTGGCAGATAATAACGTTCTATGTCTTTGGGCAATCAACAATTAGAAATTGATCATACCCTGTAGTCTCTCGCGGGGCTACACCAAAGGCGATGGGTCAGTTGACGCTACTAATTGGTTGGACCAGATCTCCCGAAAAGCTAAAGAGGGGGTGAGTTACCGATTGACATGGCTATCATTTATCCCCAATTCTACGAATGCATCGGCAAAAATGACATTGACTTAACTGCCTGTATCAATCAGGATAATCATCGAAATCGACGAAAATGATGTCGAAATCGGCAATCTCGTCTCAGATAATTATCGGATCATTGTGTGGGTAAAAGATCCCCTCTTCATCTTCTTCTTCGTAGAAGGTAATGGGCTCCCATTGAATCTTTGATACCTTTTAGTGCCAGTTGCTTTTGATGCCGAATACTTAGGGATATTGGGCTGCTCAGACCTTCTGCTTCCTAGAGCGATTGGATATGTCTGCCATGGTTGGTCATCCACTAATGGTGCTTATCATATTGATCTTAAAATTGGGATTCGGAGCAGGTGCTTGTTGTGGTCTAGCTATTATGGCTATTATGCACTCTTTAGTATTATGGCTGTTATGCGGGTCATATCGATAGAATTTGCCAATATCCTTGTTGTCCTGCCGATTAGGCTTCCAATTGGATGGTTTAGGGATGATCTCATGTTCGTTCATGAGGAAAGCCTCGTACAAAGTGTTAAGCATGGTAAAGACTTCATGTCCTTGTTCATGATTCGGCAATGGCCCTCAGCGATCGTTACTGTTATATTTCCCTTTGCCTTTCTAATAATTCTCATGTTGATGATTAAAGTTGTCTTTTTGCTTATGGCCAAGTTAATACCAATCAGATTTGTCAACGGTATCATACGGGAGTTTCGCGCCGAGAACTTTTGTTGCTTACGTTCTTCTTGCCCGAGCCGAAGGCCCAGTTTTTGAGTTGAAGTATTTGCCTTCGCATGGATGGTAGCGTGCTTCATTACTTCGTCATAAGTACGCTAATTACCACTATGCACCAGGTATCCAAAATGAGATGACTGAATGCCACTTTTGAAGGCACCGAAGGCTGCCCGATAATCGATTTCTGGGCACCGTGAGTACTCATGGCTGAACCATGCAAGATATTCCCATAAAGGCTCGTCATCCCGTTGCCGAATGTTATACAAGTTGTCGATCGAGTTCAAACGGTCTGTCTGAATCATGATGTGGTAAGGAAAATTTGTTTCAATTCATTAAAGGAATCCACCATACCTGGCTCCAATTGTAAAACCAATTGAGGACTGCTCCGGTTAGTGCAAATGGGAACATAAGGCAATATCCTTCGTCGCTAAGTCCCTTGCATCAGGGCTGATTAGAATGGTATACTCAGGGTCTACACATCCTTATCATGTCTGGAGTTTTTTATGTGTTTGGTGAACGGTCCTGGTTGAAGCTTGCCCCACTTCGGTTCTTGGGAACGGGTTCTGTCATCCTCCATTTTCTGAACCTTTTGGAAGAGAAGTTGGATGACGAGATCTCGACTAGGGATTTCTTCTGTTCCATAGTCTTCTGAATGATGTGGCGACCCCCTCGAATGGATTTTTGAGTACCGTATAGGCGTTGCCAAAAGGTAGGTGGCCCCATGGGTTTCGGATGGAATGTACTCGGGATTCGAGTCCCCAGTGGATTCCAGACCCTACACTCGCCCAATAAGGCATTGGTGACTTGTCTCTTTCTTCTTGTTGATCCATCAAGCGGCGGTGACAATCGGAGTAAACCTTTTGCAGTAGATGGGGCTCATTCGTGGGAGCTGGGACAACCAAGTGTCTGGAAGGTGCGGGTCCTGCCTTCACCCATTTTTTTCTCTTCTTCTGCCGATTAGGGGTTTGCAAGCTCTAAGAAGATTGATCAGTCTGAATGTTCTTAGTCAACTGCTGATTGAGCTATTGCTGTGTTTCATCCACTTTTGAAGAGAGAATGTTGTTGTGTTCCTTTAGTTTTTCCATGTACTGTCGAAGTGCCGCGATTTGGGTTAAAAGTTTTGCTTCGGTAATGGTTTGCAGTGTTGACGAATTACCAACCGGAGTGCATGGGGGCAGTGCTGGGCTTGTTCTGCTTTGCTTACAGAATGGTAACCTTTCTGTTGGTAGAAACATTGGTACTGATGCAGTCCCCATGTGATAAAAACAATGGGTCGATTATTGTTTCCCACAGACAGCCTAAAACTGTTGATGCTCAAAAATGGTTCAGCACTTTTAGGCCCAACTTCGTGATGTCTTTACCTTCGGCACCTTCAGGGCATCGGTAAAGTGAACGATCTACAAGATAGAAAACGTTCGGTAAGCCCTTGGGCACTAGTATGGTACCGGCCAAAGGCTCTCCGATGCTTAAGTAAGAATAAGTTCGGAGTGTGTAATAATTTGGACAAAGTCTTTGCTACCTCCTTTTAGGGACTTGTGCCCACTTTTATAAGTCTTAAGAGTTGTGTAAAACTTCAATGTGGGACTGTGGATATTTCATGTGGTGGCTCCACGTGTCCTAGTAGGTAATTTCCTGATAAGGGGTCTGGTGCAGCGCTCAGCAGTGAGGGGTGCCAAATGTTGCTCTATCGATGGTGCTTTTAGTCCACGTGTGACCTCTGTATTGGTCGATCTAAGTGGGTGTAAACAACCTGAAACCCACATAAATTTTTTATTCCTTGTGCATGAGAAGAAAAGACATGATAATTTAGATTCCCATGAGTTATACCACATGAGAAGCATGAGTTGACATGTTTCCAATACTCATTCTTGATAAATAAACATGTTATATATTCAAAGCCTATAGAGGCAGAAATATTTGTTTGAATCTCTACAAAATCATATTCTCCTTCATAAATAGTATATGTTTTCTGCAGTTGTCCTGTTTATCAATAATGATAAATCGCGTGAATCTATTCAAGTTGTGTTTGTACCATATTTTGTAAATAGGCCGAAAATGATCTATCTCTCAAGGGAACATATTTGTGAAGCCCAAGCATCAGGTAGCCCAAGTCGTTGAGCCACACTAAAGTTAAAAAGATTGGTAACCATTGCACATAGACCTACGTGAGGGTTTGAAGAAGGATTGTCACCATTAAGGGTGACTTGACCTTTTTCTCGCCCAACAAGAAAGCAAGTTGGATAAAAGTCACCAAAACCGAAGGGAGTTGAATTACCAACCAGATTTCCGGGTACAAAGAACTCAAGTCAGAGAAACACCTCAAAAAAACCAGCGGTTTTGTCAAAGATTAACATATCAATAGCTGACTTTGGATAGTAGCCAAATATCCTCTTTCAGCTTTCATCATTGAAGTTTCTTGCCTCTAAATAAAGAGCCTCCATAATATAAGAAGTGGACTCTCTCTCCAAAACTAGACACAACGTCTCAAAAATACTTGAAAAACTCAAGATCTTTTCAAACAAGCCTACTTAATTTCCAGATAACCAATTGACAACTCATGTGTTCATCTTTTTGTTGCTCTGCCATCTCCATGGTATGATTTCTTTCAAATGATCAAATTGAATTCATGTATCCATCTAATTGGATAGAGAAATCTCCAGTTTTTCCTTGCATTGTAATTGATATTTTGAATTAGTTAAATGGATAAATTCAGAACTCTTGTTCTTCCTTGTTATCAAGTTAAAATTATACGAAGAGAACTCGAAGTTTATTGTAACTGTTTCATTGAGTATCTGCTATTTAATTGTATTTATATATTTTAAATATCTCTATAGATTAATTTAATTTCCCGCCTTCGTATCATTTAAATTTATCATTCGGACCAAAGTAGAGGTCTAGGCCCGAATAGGGCCCTATTAGTCCAAAAGGAAAAGGTTAATTCATGCCCGAACTACATCGCTGAGCTCGAATTGACTGGAATCTTGACCCGATCTAAGGGTTGATTGAATTTAAATTAGGTTCCTAAACCTAGATAGGGTATCATTAACCACGATCCTAGTTCCCTCCTTGTTTGATTAGGTATTGCTCGTATCTATCAGACCAACACACATAAATGAAAGAATATTGAAGTCCTCTTGATTGAGGCATAGAAAAGAACCCATCCAAGCCAGTACCCCCCTTAGAGCACAATGGCCTGAGTAGAAGTCCAGAATAAATGCAAACACAACAAATCAACATCCTACACCCCTCATACCAAGTCTATTGGACTGGTCTTGTACCTAATAGTGGCACGCCTACGCAACTCTCGATCAGAACAAAAGGAACAAGCCAACAGGGCCCAGCCCAAGCTCGCCCGTTTTTGTTGAACCTGATTCAACTTTCAGTTTTGTTCAGAAGTTGAAAGAATCCTCTTCGCAAGCCAAATATCAAACAGGGCATTGGTGTTGATCCAACGACCTCCTCACTCTGCAGAGCGATCATATCCAAGTCTGTCAAGACCATCAAAAGGGGTGTTCACATGAAAAAGGACCAACAAGTTGATTGGTCATTATTTATGGTTGCTTTAAGGTACCTTATTGTGTCGGTTTATGAGTCTTGGTTTTGTTCTGTGGAAGTACTGAACAGTTAGTCAAGGTCGGCCCTGACTTTTGGGTGGCCCTAGGCTAGAAATGAAAATGAAGCCCATTTTTCTTTCATTCTCCTGAATATAATAAAATAACATGGAAAAAAAAAATTATGCAATTAAATACAATTTGGATAAATAAACACGGCTCCAGTATTGGTCATATAATCACTTCCCCAATTTGAAAATAAACAAGAATGAGGATACAAATAATTTGCACTCTTTCATATTTCCTCGCTAAATAATCTACTAACAAGAATTTTTGGATAAATAAAAGAATTTCTGGTCCCTTGCTTTCTTTCATTGATTGCTACTTTTAGTAATTAAATACTTTTTGGCAATTAAATACTTAAATATATGCAATTGATGTTCATATATTACATGATTTTCATTTGGACTCTTCAAAAACACTTGTAATTAGATTTGGGGTCTCCAAATGCCAAACTATTGAAATTATTCTCCTCTAAAATCATATTCTTCAACTTGGTACATATATAATATATATAATTTGGTATATATATAATTTGGGGCCCTACAAATGCGAGGCCCATGGCCATCGCCCTCCTTGCCCACCCTCAGGGCGGGCACTGCAGTTAGTGCCCTATGGAAGGTTGTTTAAGCTACCGGCTGATGCATTCTCTTCTCCTCCATAATTTTTTTTTACTTTTCAGCTATGCATCTATAGCGATGCTCAAGAGTTCTTGTAATTAAGGAAAAAAAAGTAAAAAAATAATTTTCCAAAGTTCTTGGTGTTGACCTCAAAATCTTTTCGGCCAACTATAGGATTATCTCAAATAAAATAATCCACGGGACGAGTGGATTTGGGATCAAAGTCGTCCTTCTTAGTGTGAGTGCTTTGCGCGGCGTACCAGCCCCAACAGTCAATGACGCTCATGAAAGCAAAGAGAGGGTTTCTAAGTCCGACCCTTGTTTTCGCTTTGGGCTTGGATACTTCTATTTTTAAGCCCAAAGCTTGGTTCAATGGGTCCTTGCCACGTCATTTTTCTATGTGGGGTCAAAATGGGGGGATAAAAATGTGTATAAACAGTAGGGAAAACTGGACATGTGTAAATCTTCTTTTCTTTTCTGTTCCCTAATTATTGCTTATTGATTTGATCCGCTTCAAACATACAGCTTCGGCCCCAAGTCTACTTCATAATTCTCTTAATTAATAAGTCAACAACAGAATACTAAATGGTCAACTAAATTTTACTTAAGATCCACCTATGGAAGGTCCTCAAAATTGTTTGGTAGACCCTTCGTTTTTCTAGTGAACCATGAGACTCTCTTGACAAAATCTTAAGCTAAATTTTGTTTCTACTTTTTTCAACTTTGTACATGAGGCAGACCTCATATTGCTTGTTTAGCCGGATCTCTATGAAGCAATTAAGAAAGAATGAAACCAATTACACACAATTACCATTTAGGTTTATGCTCATAAACCGGTTGCAGAAGGGAAGGGATGCAAGAGGAGGAGCATCCGAGCATGACATGGTCGGGAGTTTGTACTCATAACTCCAACTGGGACAAAAAAAATCCAGGGAATGGGAGGAAGCAGTGAGCCGCTCTTGCAAGTATATCAGCTCACTGGGCGTGCATGCTTCTGTTACTTTTGTTAAAACAGCTTTTAGTATGATTCCTATGTCTGAAACAAATCCATGTTTGTTCTAAATAATCAGGTACTGGCTGTTTGTGGTTGTATTGTATGCTTCTATCTTATTCAACCAAGAAAGATTTTATAGTAAATTTGGCTTACACCCTTCAAATTCAATTTGCCGTACCTAAAACCTTTCACTTTTTGTTCCTATAAATAATACCCAATTTGTATAAGTAAAAACCCATGACTAGGATTCAACTCTGCAAGTTACCTAATTAAGCATAAAATCTGATTTATTGTACTTTTTAGATTCCAAAAATACCCCCGACTAAGCCATTATTGCATTTTGCATATTAATGTAGAAATCAATATGGAAACAGTTTTTAATTGAATTGTATATAATGACAGATGTTGAATTTGGAAAGATCTCCAAATGGTTGTAATGGATGTAGGAATTAATTTTGAAACATTTTTTAAAAAAATTTAACAATAAATTCAAATTTGGGTAATCGGTTTGTTTAATAAAATGTTTATGTTATTTTCTTTTTATGAATTATACATGACTAATAATTCACTTTATAATTGTTTATGAATAAAACTATACGTACTAATTATGTTGAAAAAATAATGTACCTATTACTTGTTTGTTTTATGAAAAATATAATTTACCTAGTATGAAAAGTGTACATAATTATCTATTCCAATATACGTACATTATACGACATCCAATATACCTACATTAATTTTAATGTACTTACAATTAGGATTTAGGTATTATATGTCATCCAATGTACCTACCATTTGAATAATATACCTACTACGAATAAAGTACCTATTATTTATCTAAATAATGTACCTATTTTTTATCTAAATAATGTAATTTATTTTTTTTTCTATAAATAATATAGCCTTTTTTCTCTGAATAAAGTACCTATTATTTGTTTTATTAAAAGTAATTTTTTTAAATGAACCTATTTTCTCTCTCCAAATAACTTACCTATTTTTTTCCTCTAATAATGTACCTATTTTTCATAGGTACATTATTGGATATGTAATTTATTGGATACCTATATTTTATATGTATATATTTATATTATAATTTTCATAAGTACATTATTGGATATGTAATTTACATATTTTTTTTTGTTTGCAATTTTAGGGGGTGAGATGTGAGAGGGAATGACAACTATAAGAAATGGGGTGATTGATATGCTATTAATAGGGAGTATATTAATTACAATTATGACAGTTAATGAAATGCTTGAAATAAATTATAAATAAAATATGAAGTTTAGTGGCAACGATGTAAAAACATAGAAATACTACGACCTCTTATATTCTACTGGTCATTTAAATTTGAAATTGGGTTTTACACATAGATTTATAGAGTGATAGGTACATGTCTAGGAAATAGAAAATGTATGGATCTATATTGGACAAGCCCAAGATTTTATAACCAGTGAGGTATAACTCAGTCAGTTGAGCTCTTTACCTCAAGCTCTGTGGGTAGATATAGCTCAATCAGTTGAACTCTTTACCTCAAGCCTTGTGGGTAGAGATAGCTCAATCGGTTGAGCTCTTTGCCTCAAGCCCTGTGGGTAGAGGTTTGAAAGCACTCATGAACGCTACTAAACAAAAAATCAATGAGGAAGAGTATTTGTGTCCAAAATGGAGTTCGTATGGACACTTTTGGTGCCCAATAATACATTAAAGGGTACCCCTTTAATATAATTAGGTTGGCAAAGTTACTCTTGTAGTGATGAGCGATAATGTTCTTGTTGCTCAGTTGCCAAAAGGAAATTACGAACTGTGTTTTGGTCAGTTTTCCAGAGACCAGAAAGGACGTAAACAAAAGAAATATACAGTTTATTTCATGCAAATTTTTAGTACTATCCAAATGCCAGAAAAATGAGAAATCAGGAGATAAAACTTGGAAGATAGCAAATTTCAGCAAGGGATATCTAGCGGAAAACACCACAAACGAGAAGGTTTCTATTAAATCATAACCACATTAGCCTAAAGGCAGTAAATAGTTTGTTGGTTAGTTAGCCATCTGTAACTAATCTTATACAGTTGTATTTGACGGCTCATCATTGTATTTTAATATAAAGCTTGTACAAATCATTCTAACAGTTAATGAGAATTACAATTCCTTTATGGTATCATCGCCATTCGATCCTCTCTTCCGCAATCTTTCCTCTGCTATTTTCTCCTTTCTCAAACCCTAACTTTTCTTCTTCCATGGCGGCTTCTGATGCTTCTTCAGGACCAACGCCACCGCCTACTTGTGGTCCTATTCTTTCTTCTGCTGCATCGTCCTCAATTCCAGCTTTCACTACTGTTACTGTTCAGAATATTTCCGGCATGATTCCGATCAAACTTCAAGCAACCAACTATTTGCTCTGGAAGAATCTTTTTCTCCCAATTCTTCGGAAATTCAAGATGCTCGGTCTCGACACTGGTGATGAGCCGTCTCCTCGCACAATTCTTGATTCTTCTGGTTCCACCATTGAGAATCCAGCCTTTGATCTTTGGTATGATAAAGATCAAAGCCTGATGATTTGGATTATCTCTACGTTATCTTCTGATCTTCTCTCTCATACTGTGGGTATTGAGAGCTCGCGTGCTCTTTGGGAACTTCTTGAGAAACGCTTCGCTGGAGTTTCTCGTGCTAGTATTCATCAATTGCGCTCGCGTCTTGAAACCCTCACCAAAGGTGATCTGTCTATGGTTACATACTTGCAGCAGATGAAGGAAATTGCTGCTGGCTTGGGTGCGGCTGGCCAACCTCTCACTGATTCTGATCTTGTTGCTTACATCTTGGCTGGTCTTCCTGAGAAGTATGATTCTTTTGTGACCTCTATTGAAACTCGTAGTGACCTAGTTCTTCTAATGAGCTTCATGGTTTCCTGCTTGGTCGTGAAGCTGCGATCCTACATCGCACGACTCGTTCTTCTCTGCCGGTCACTCATGAACCGTTTCATGCTTATGCTGCTTTTCCACACCACAGAGGTCGTGGATCTCATGTACATTTTAAGCACAAAGGTCCTGGTCAGGGCCAATACTCCTTTGGTCAGGCCCAATTTCAGCCTCGCCCTATGCATTCGGGCTCTCGTGGATTGCTTCCAACGCCTTCTGTTTCTTGGTAGCAAAATTCTACTTTTGGATCCTCTTCTCGTGCACCGTCTCCATTTTCTCATGGCAGCTCTTCTCCATTTTCTTCTGATGCTTCCCACTCCTCTCATGGAGTTATTGTTTGTCAATTCTGTAACAAGCATGGCCATGGCGCTGCCACTTGCAGGAAGCTAGGTCTTCTTCTCAATCAATCTTTCTCTTCACAGTCCTTGTCTCAGTACTCAGGCTATTATGTCAATCCACAGTCCCAACCTCCTTCTACCTCTTGGATCATGGACACTGGGGCTACCGCTCATGTTACTGCTAATAACAGTCATCTTCAAAATTCTGTTCTGTACTTGGGTTCTAATTCTTTGCAAGTTGGAGATGGTAACTGCTTACCTATATCGCATATTGGTTCTTCTGTTATTACCACTCCTTTTGCTAATTTTTCTCTTAGGCATATTTTACATGGTCCTCATATTACTCAGAATTTACTATCGGTTCAAAAGTTCTTAGAGGATAATCAATGTTCTCTAACTCTCTATCCTTCTAAATTTTCCATTAAGGATCTGGTTACACAGAAGATGCTTTACCACAATCCACTTAAAGAGGGTATGTACAAGTTGACTACTGGTGTTGACTCTGTTGCTGCCAAGACCAGTTGCTCTACTTCTTCCTTTATGGTAAATAAATGTGATTTGCTCACTTGGCATCAGAGATTAGGTCATCCTCATGCTTCTGTTTTTCAGCAAGTCATTAGTCATAATAACCTCCCTTTATCTGGTTCCTTTGCTACAAATGTACTCTGTTCTGCTTGTAAGCTAGGAAAGGCATCCAAACTTCCATTTCATGGTTCAGGCTCTAAGACTACCAAGCCTTTGGAATTGTTACATAGTGATGTATGGGGTCCTAGTCCTATACATTCTATTTCGGGAAATAAATACTATGTTCTTTTCTTGGATGATTTTACCAAGTATGCTTGGATTTACCCCATGAAGTTCAAATCTGATGTTTTTGGTATTTTCAAGACTTTTAAGGCCAAAATGGAAAACTTGTTAAGACTCTAAAATCAAGATACTCAGGAGTGATTCTGGTGGGGAATTCTTAAGTTCTAGTTTTCAGCAGTTTCTTAATCAGGAGGGCATTGTTCATCAATTAAGCTGCCCTCACACTCCCGAGCAGAATGGTGCTGCTAAGCGTAAACACAGGCACATAGTTGAATTGGCAAGAACTTTGTTAGCTACTTCTAAAGTTCCTTTTCAGTTTTGGGTTGATGCCTTTCTCACTACCCTTTACCTTATCAACCGCCTACCTTTTACCTCCTTTCACCTCTCTCCTTTTGAACTACTATTTCACTCCAAACCCAATTATCATTCTCTTAAAAATTTTGGTTGCCAATGTTTTCCTTGGTTAAAACCTTACAGTCCATCCAAATTACATCCCAAGAGTTTATCTTGTGTGTTTCTAGGTTATAGTCTTAATCATTCTGGGTATCGTTGTCTTGATCCTGTTACAAATCGCCTTTATGTATCTAGACATGTTACTTTTCATGAATCTATTTTCCCTTTTCATGCTACTATTTCTTCTTCCTTTTCTGATTCTATTTCTTCCTATTTTCCTATCATTCCTCTCACTTTTCCTGTGATCACTTCTTCTCCTTCACAGTCTCATTTATCGCCCTTATCCTCCTCTTCTCCTCCTTCTTTTGTGCCATTTGTTTCTCCCCCTTCTCAACCGTCATTATCTGTTCCTTCTTCTTCTATCCATGTTCAAAACACTCATCCTATGCTCACTCGTTCAAAACATGGTATTTTTAAACCTAAAGCTCTTACAGCCACTAAGCATCCCTTGCCTTCTTCTTTACATTCTACTGCTCTTCTTCCTCCCACTCCCACTATCTATAAACAAGTTGCTAAACATTCGGTGTGGGTTGAGGCCACGAAGAGTGAACTTGCTGCTTTGGAACAAACCAACACTTGGACTTTGGTCCCTCCCTCTCCATATCAGAATTTAGTTGGTTCTAAGTGGGTTTTTCGCACTAAGTTTAAACCTGATGGTACTGTTGTCAAATTCAAGGCTCGTTTGGTTGCTAAGGGGCATCATCAGCGAGAAGGCTTGGATTTTCATGAAACTTTCAGTCCTGTGGCTAAGCCTACTATGATCAAACTTCTTCTTTCTTTGGCAGTCCAATATGATTGGTTCTTAAATCAATTGGATGTGAGTAATGCTTTCCTTCATGGTTTTTTGAAGGAAAATGTTTTTATGTCTCAGCCACCTGGTTTTGCAGATCCTACCAGGCCTCATTTTGTTTGTCAACTCAATAGATCCTTGTATGGCTTAAAACAGGCTCCTAGGGCATGGTATGATGAATTGTTCAAAGCCTTGGTTTCTCTGGGGTTTCAATCTTCTCAGGCAGATTCTTCTCTTTTCATTAAGACAAGTGGTGCTTCTCTTGTTCTTGTTTTGGTCTATGTTGATGATATTTTGGTCACTGGAAACTGCAACATAGATTGTACCTCTCTTATTTCTCATCTCAGTGCAAAATTCCCAGTTAAGGATCTTGGTCCCTTACACTATTTCCTTGGCTTGGAGGTCACACGATCTGCCCAAAGTATGTTTCTTTCTCAAACGAAATATGCATGTGATCTTCTCAAGAAGACAGATTTTCTTGGGGCTAGTTCTTGTTCAACTCCCCTTGGTTCTTACAAGTTGGATAATTCTGGGGATATTCTTGAAGATGTTACTTTCTATCGCTCTACTATGGGTGCCCTTTAGTATCTTACTTGGACTAGACCAGACCTATCCTATGCTGTTAATCTTGTTTGTCAGCACTTGCATCAGCCTCATTCTAATCACTTGGGTGTTGTTAAAAGAATTCTTCGTTATCTTAAAGGCACTCTTGACATGGGGGTCTGGTTTACTAACGGTTCTCTTGGTTTGCAAGCCTTCACAGATGCTGATTGGGCTGGTTGTCCTATTGATCGGAGGTCTACCAGTGGCTGGTGTATCTTTCTTGGTTCCAATTTAATTTCCTAGTCAGCTAAGAAGCAACCGACAATGTCTCGCAGTTCTACTGAAGCTGAGTATCATGGTCTGGCTAAGACTGCTACTGAGTGGCTCTATTTGTCAAAGTTATTCAAAGACATTGGTTTTCAGTTACCTTCTCTTCCATTTCTCTGGTGTGACAATCAATCTACCATTCATCTTGCTTCCAATCCAGTGTTTAGTGCCCGAACCAAACATGTGGAGGTTGATTATCACTTTACAAGGGAGTAGGTTCAACAAAGATTCTTGTCTGTTAAATTTGTTTCCTTTGACCATCAGCTTGCTGATATTTTTACCAAACCTTTATCTGCTGCCAGACATTCTCTTCTTCGAACCAAGCTCACAGTGCGTTCTCCTCCCTTCAGCTTGAGGGGAGCTAAAGGCAGTAAATAGTTTGTTAGTTAGTTAGCCATCTGTAACTAATCTTATACAGCTGTATTTGACAGCTCATCATTGTATTTTAATATAAAACTTGTACAAATCATTCTAACAGTTAATTAGAATTACAATTCCTTTATAGCCATCATTACTCAAAAAAATCATTATTTCAGAACAGATTGTAAGGGGCATGGATACTTCAAACAAGTACCAAGTTCCATCAACTACTTAATGCGGCATGTTCTACCATGCATATAAAAGATTCAAGCAAAGTTTAACACTTTCAGTTCATTGAATGGAAAAATAGGTAGTGCTTAGGCACGCAACATGCCGGAGGCAGATTTCTTCTTGCACTCGGACAGCATATCCATGTAGAACTGGCACTTGCTGATATCACTTCCAAAGTGGTTGACACACTACAATGAAAACACGAACAAAAGTTAGATCTGAAACCACCCCATCATTTCAACCAAATTCATTACAAAAATGTTTTGAAACAATAGGGTTTAATGATAAAATAAAACAAAAATGAAACCCCTTGTGTAAAAATAATTCATTTTTCCATTAGTTAGAAGTGAAACCCATTCCATGAAAACGAACACCATTACACAATTATCCAAACCTTGACCTCGGAATCGCGAAACACATGCTTCATAACAGAACAAGAAAACAAAAATTCAAACACAAACAAGGTGATATTGTCTACTAACCCCTACTCACCCCCAATAAACTGAACAAAGAAAGATTCAAACACTTCACTTGCATCACTAAATTTTCAGGAAAAGATAAGGAAAAGGGTGTAGAGTTTTGCATACATCTTGGAAGGCCTTGGAGTGATTACTGCAGGCATCAGACCCAGTCATGCTGCTAGAAATGGGTGCTAGAGCAGCAGCAGCAGCCTCAGAGACTACGATTTCATGTTGAATAGTGCGAGGACCCATCAAAACATCAACAACCCTGTATGCCACAGCACTTTCAGTCCCAAAACCAATACCTGCAACAGAAGGGGAAAATCAGACATCCTACACGGAATTGAATGATTGCACATGCACCACTTCAAGCAACCAGATGAATTTCATCTACCTTGAACTATGGTTGATCCAAGTATCCTGAGAAAACTCCACCACCTCCTCCCTGAACTGGAGCCGGAGAAGGAGCTTGTTTGACTGATCACATCAAGAAAATAACATAATTAGAGGTGAGAGGGGCAATATGGCATAATAGCTAATAAAAACAAATCTTATTACAATAAAATCCATTTCAACTATAACGTTTCAAATAAGCACCTGTCTGAGGAGGGTTGCGTGCTGGTGCATGACGAGGAGCTGGAGCTGGACGGGCAGAACGACCTACAAGTGGTGTTTATAGCACATTAAAACTCTCTTAACAAGCAAACAGTTAAGAATGAGCCGGATAAATGCAACAACCCCTTTCCTTTCGTAATAAAGGAAAATCCATAAAAACAAATTTGTTAAAAAAAATATAGACAAACCCTAGAATCTCCATTCTCTTGGAAATTAGAAACCCACAGAATCCTAACAACATGCATACATTTATCAACAAAAATAATGGAGAGCACAAACCTCCTGATCGGCGAGGCAATGCAGAAAATTAGGGCTTTGAGTTGGCGAAAATTAGAAAGATTTAGGGGGGTGTATTCAATTAAGATTTTAAAAGAGTTAAATAGAGTAATAAAGTTTATAGAGTTAAACATATTTCAATTGATTTCTATAAACTCCACACAGAGTTTGATTGAATTCCAAAATTGATTTTAATGGTGTTTGTTAGAGTTTTATCATAAATTTTAAAAGAGTTTATTAGAGTTCTAAAATGTTTTTTTCTTTTTTTTCTTTTTCTTTTGGGGCTGTTTATCGTTTTTCTTCCTCGATTTCTTCATTCCATAGTACTGCATCTACTTCTTCCTACTTCTTCCATCTCCATTAATAACAAAAAAAAATCTGAAGTGCACATCTAAAATTGTAAATAACTATATAGATTAAAATAAAATACCATTAATGAAAAGACAAAACTGAAAAAGCATAAAGGCACATAAAACACAAGCAATACTCATAAGTAACACACACAAACATTACCCAAATAATTAATTCTAAACCAAAGTTCAACAAATTCCAAACTAATAAAGTCTTAACACTTCTCCAAAATGGTAAATACTTCCAAACCAAAGTCTTAAAAATATTTTAAACCAACATGATAAAAATAGTTTAAACCAAAGTTTCAACATAATCTAAAATGGTAAACATAATCTCCAAGAACCACACTCATTCCATATTGTATAGTATCCACTCTGAGCGCTCTTGAGGTAACATTTTCAGGAATGCATTTTTCATTCCCAACTTATGAACCAGACCAAGTGCTTTGTAACGAGTATGATTATCCAAGTTCGGAGTCTCCTTGATGGCATCCCAAACATTGTTGGTTTTCTCTCTCTCTTTCTCTCTTTTCTCCATTAGGCTATGCATTCCTCGAATTTCAGTGGTAATTGCAGCAATTGAATCCATGCCCACATAAACTTTTTCTACTAGTTCAGCTCGAGTTATGGTCTCAATTGAATTATTATTTGCTTCAGACTCAGTTTTAGGTTTCTTTCTTTGAGGGAGCTTTTCTAATGGAGCCTCCAAATTTGTGTCCAGAAAAGGGGACGAAGTAAAATTACCAGACGACAAAGATTGGTATGATGTTTCATTTTGACTTGGTACAAATGCCTCATTGGAATCCTGCAATTTGGTAGGTCTACTTTCTCTAACTTCATAAGTTCTAGCATCAGTATCATCACCAAGTCCAATTGAGTTTTTCCCAGCAGCTATTCCATTGCCAATTGCAATTACCAAATCCTCATAGTCTGCAAATGTATCTCTTTGAAGATGCACTTGACTTGGATGAGACTAGCAAAAACCAATAATAAAATAATAAAAAATTCAAAACATGCAAAAAGTACGAAAGTGAAAGTTATCATTATAAAGTAATATTTAACAAAATTGAAATCTTACCTTAAAGTAATCTTGCCATACTTCTTCAGTAGCTGTGAATTTCTTTTAGATGAAGTCCCACCCAAATCCAGAACTATTATGCATAAGCTGAGTAAAACTCTGATATCTTGTCTTAAACCATTTCAGACGGCTTTGATATTGATGATAAGTTTTTTGGCATCCATGTTTTGCATTAAGAACAGGAAGTATCTTGCTTTCTACTATTTGCTTGCTTAGTAAACCATTAGAATCACGCCATCCACGATTGGCAGCATCAACCATTAGTTCTAACAGCATATTGCTTTCTTTTGAGGTCCATGGGTTATAAGGTGTTTTTCCTTTTCCTTGTTGTGAATCTCCCTTTTATAATGTTACTAGATAATACATGCAATCTTTATTTAGTTCACAAGAAAAAAAAATTATATATGAAGATCATTTTTTTCCTTTTTGTTTTGGAATGGACTAGATATACATAGATATTGTACCCAAAAAAAAAGGATGAACATAGATCGATGAAGAGGGCTATCATCTATATGATATGATGCATAGAAACAAAAACAAAAAAACAACAACTAAAAACAAAAAGTTAATAATAACAGCAACAACAACAACAAAAATTAACAACAAACCTTGACAAGCACACATGTTATATGATGTGCATCGAATACAAGATGTGCAATTGCTTGGATATATATGACGGAAAAGTAGAAACAACAATTGCTTGGATATATGACGGCAACAATAACCATACAACTATTCATACATGATGTGCATCGAATACAAGCAACGACAATTTCTTGGATATATGATGATGTATAGCAACAACAATTATTCAAGCACTGGAAAGCGTACAAAGCGTAGAAAAAGAGAAGAGATTTTTTACCTCCACTTGACAGGCACACACGTTCAAGGACTGGAAAGCGTAGAGCACATTCAAAGTTTCTAGGGTTCACATAAGATTTGTCAAAGCCTTTTTTATTTGTACTTACCACTTTATTTTCTAACGAAATTGGGCAACTTATTAATTCCTTCAAAATAAATTACTTTTTGAATACACCTAAATTTTGTTTGACTTTTAAAAAGTCATAATTGAATACACCTAGATTTCGATGTATTTTTTTAATATCAATTGAAATCTGAATTGAATACACCCAAACTTTTATGAACTCTTTTAAAATCTGAATTAAATACAACCAAACTTTTAAACTCTTTTAAAATCTTAATTGAATACAACCCCCTTAACAATTCGACGAAGACTCTGGAAGCTATCTGGGTTTGTATAAGCCCAGAAACGCTAGTTTTATAGGCAAAAGAACGGGAATCCGGTGCGCCCGAAGTTTGTAAGTTAGGAGATCCTAGCCGTGATAGTGAGATAAGGTCAAAACCCAAAAAAGATCAGAATTATCTAAGGAGGGACTAAAAATTTTATGGGCATATTGGTAAGTTCATAGCAACGCACGGCTTTTTTCTCTCCTGGTTCATGCTATATGCGTGTGCCGCAAGAAGAGCCAGTTTTTTTTATAAAAAAAATTAAATAAGAAATCAGAGAAAGATGAATTAGAAACTGTCAACGTGGTTCCATGTAAGCCAAAAAAATGCCCAAACTGGTTTAAGTTTCTGGAATATGGGTCGGTCTGGTCCCAAATCATGGGCAGACTGGGCTTCAGATTTTTTAGTTCATCCCAACCCAAGTTTGGCCTGACCTCTATCTCGCCTCCACTCGACTCTCTGGCCAACTATTCAAATAAATTAGCCTCTAGTAATAGTGGTAGAGCCGTGAATTTTTCTTCGGATGGTCACGTGTAAAAGTTCTCAAATTTATTTTAGATAAAACATATCCTTAAAATTAAATGGTATTCTTATCATCTATGATTCATGGAAGAAACAACATTGCAAGCTAAAATTGACCACGAAACTTTTTATATTTTGAAAACGACACTCTGCAAAACCCTAATAAATTTTTTCATGTTGTCCCAAATTAGCATAACATCAACCCTTTTCCTTAGATCTTGCTATTGAAATGATTAAGGGCCAGTTTGGCGTTGTTGTGCTCTAAAAATAATCACTGTCAGATTTGCTGCGAGAGAAATCAAATGCGAGACAAAGCAGTTTGACGTTTGGTAAACTTTTTGTTAAAAGTGTTGTTGGTACTATTTCCAAATAATTAGAAAATGAATTAAACCTAGTGCCTCTTCGAAACTGATTCCTGCATAATCATAAATTGAAAGCACCTCATTAGCTACTTTCTCTTCCAACAATTTTTAACAATAAGTGATTTTCTCATAGTTTACCAAACAGCCAGGGCTTCCCAAAATTTTCAAAAAATCACTTATCACCCCAAATAAGTAATACCAAACGAGCACTAAGTCTATATATAAAATAGACATTAGGCTTCTACAAATCTTGCTTTCAAATGACATTTATACCTG